GAGAGGGAACACCGTGCAAGAGCCCATTTCTCCTCGTGCACGCTCTGTTTAAAAGTAGCTGTTTGCATCGCTCATACAAGCTTACCTTCCAAAAGAAGATTTGCAATTTTCCGCTATGTCAGACTAACCACCAGTAAGCGAAAATGGGGACGAGCCTTACGTAAACATATATATCCAGAATGATTGACAATTAGGAAGGCCACTTATTTTGATGATCCACCCGGAAAAAGAACATCCTTTACTATACCTTTAACATTAAAAAATGCTTAATTTCTACACAACATGCAGCTGTATTTTTTCCCATGACTCGCATAGAAAGAATTTCCTAGATTTCTCGTTGATCTCAACTATTTTAGATTGTTTTCCTTCTTTAAAGAAATCTAAGAAGATGCATTTGCTGATTCTACAGTGGAGATCCACACATGCTGGCCACCATCTTAGCCATAACTATAGGTTTAAAGAGCCCATATTATGTTGTAAAAACAGTAGTTATACCAGAGGGACAGAAATACCCAGAGGGGTTATGGAATATCAAAGAGATAAATGGTTGTTTCCTCAGTTTTATAGAAGAAAGGCTTGCTCTTATTTTCTTTATGGCCCACACCTGTTTCAGAAAAACAAAAGCAGGGCAAAAATGCTATACTGAAGCTCATTGTTGGTGATTACATCCGAACACTTAGAGGTATGGAAATGCCAAATTCCAAACCTCTCTAATGATTATAATATTAAGGCTCAGTACCATTCAGTGTCCTCGTTATATATGTTGTACTTTTTCAGTCATGTAGGTCCAACCCAGGAATCCATGCTGCCACAGGAGAGAAAAGGAGCTGAGCAAAATTTAAGACTATCTTTTAAGAAGAGCATTCTTGAGTGACAGCTGACCTTTTCCTTCTTTTTGAAAAAGCGGGCAATAAAGCGCTCCCTGCTACCCTTGTTGCTGGGCTGTATGACTTCAGTTTGCAGGCTACAAAGAGCCCAATCGGTCAACAAAGATTTTCCATTTAAGGATTAAATCATACATTAAATATATCCACTATGCTGAAAGATTAGTAAAATCTAGATGGTTTTATTAATTGAAACGGTTGACTAGAACTGAGCAAAATAGCCTTTTTAATGTTATTTCAACCCCCAGTATAGTACTTTTTTCTTTGCAAATTTAGAAAATATTCGTAAAATGTTTATTTAAGTTGGCTAAATGGTGCTTTTTAACATCCACATTTCATTTTTTTTAATCGGCCGATATTATTTCATCAGCCTTTTTTGCAAATAAAACTTGCTATTTGCATTTATTTTCATCAACCTGAGACCCCTAAATAAAATCCAGGGTGACTATTTGCCTTTTAATGTCAAATATAATTTTTGTATAAATAGAAATACAGCTTTTCTGTTTGACTTTAGTGAAAAAAAGCACCATTAATAGCGAAAAACACACCGGACAGGTTGGAGATAAAGTTATGGAGAAGTTTAAAGCTCAACACATCATCCCTGTAGGGAATCATGGTGGTGGCAGTGTCATGATGAGGGAATCCTTTTCTTAAAGAGGGGCAGGTGAAATAAGTAGATGAAACTAAAAACAGGGCAATAGACTGCAAACTTCTTTCGGGTCGAGAAGGTTTATATGCGTCAATGAATAAGACAAATAAGACGTTTACTTTTTTAGATCTAATTATCGGTTTCAGATAAGATCAGATAAGGTTTAAGAAAATATTAGAGATGGAAAAACACTTGAGATTTAAGAGGATTATTAATGCTCTTGCAAGCCGCTGAATCTGAATCTGAAAAAAAAAACACCCAGCACCCTTTATGTGACTGTACTTCTCTCCGGCTTGTGGAATTATGCAGTTAATCATGTCAAAACCGTCAATGACACAAGAATGAAAAGATGTTTTTTTACAGGAGAACCGTAGCTGGCTGCCTACAAAGTGTTTAGCCTCAGGCATAGATCTTCAGACTGTTTTTCTTGATCATCATATGGGCGAGGCTCTTAAAACACGATTACTGAAAACAAATATAAAGAAAGAGGCTGCATTAAACCCATTCACACTGAGTAAACTTACAGTATTTCTTGCTTGCTCAGCACCAACCAGTAGATGATTGCGGCGGCTCTTAATTCTTCCCTCGGGTGTTTTGCAGTGATCAAAATCAACCCTGAACATAAATAAATGATACTTCATTCTTTAGCATTTCTAAACCGTAATTAAAATCGGATGATTGATAAACACACTTAAAGCCTTTGTACATTTGCGAATGCAAATTATGTCCATCAAGTTGGGGCATATACGAGAGATTAGAAAGTATTTTTCTTTACAGCAACCACATATTCTAATGTTTAAAATGAGCCGATTTAAAAATACCGAGGATTTTAACTCTTTCTTTGTAAATAAAAGTCCTTCAAATTAGTGTAGATATCTGACACAGTGAGCTATTTCATTTAGATTATTGAGATAATAGTTATATATGCAATTAAATGTTTCCAGTATATTTAACCTCAATATAAAGTTGGCTCTTGTGGCCCAGCTTTTATGATGTGGTTGGTCTAACAGTGCAAATCCAGATAAACTTACCTTCATAATATCTCAACAAACGTAAACCAGCAGCTTTATGCTTCATACAGCTTTAAATCATGCAATAATAAACAACCTTCAGCTGGGTGAATAAAGCAGATTTAAAGCTCTGCCTTAAATTTTATTCAAAAATCACTATATTCTTGTAAAAATGGGACTTTATGTCCTCTGATTTAAATCTATTTTTGCTCTACCTGAGTCAAAGCTGCATAAATGTGGGCAGAATCGAGTAAAAAACTGAAACTTTGTGGATTGAAAGCAAGCTGTCAGGATGTCTCATGTCTCCAGACTAGCTGAAGATTAGAATCCGATGATGTTCCGCTGGTTGCCTGCAGATCATCTGACAGCTACACATTTTAAGAACATACACATTCAAACATCTAAATGTGGGTTAGCCGATGAACCCCGCTACTGTACCTGCAAAGATATGGATTATACCACACAGCATGATGCTTCCACCTCCATGTTTCATTATGTGGATGATCAAGATAGTCTGTAGTGCCTGATTATGTCAGTTTAGTTTTAGTGGTTGATTTGGAAGAACCAAATGACATAAATTTGAAACTGACATTTTGCCTCATAATGAATAAAAGGTATTCGGGGTGGATCATCAAAATAAGTGGTGCTCCTAATTGTCAATCATTCTGGTGATATGTTGACATAAGGCCGTCCCGCGTGCTCGTCCCCATTTTCACTTACCAATGGTGAGTCTAACATGGTTGAAAAATTGCAAATCTTCTTTCGGAAAGTAAGCTTGTATGAGCGATGCAAGCAGCAAGTTTTAAATAGAGCATGCATGTGCATGCATTTCGCTTTATAGTAAAACCTTTATCAGTAAAATACTTTAAAAAATCAAAACTTCAAGCCAGTAGTGTTATTACCTTTGTAACATTCATAAAATATGGATATTTTGATGGCAAAAATGAACGTCAACAAGAAACGCCGACTTGCCCGAATATATTAAGAAAATTAATAAAAGTACTCTGAGAGTAAATGAAACACATTTATTTTGGTACAACATAACCTTAGAGGCATTAATGCTGACACTGGCACCTAAATATAATTGTTATGTAGGTTTATTAACTTTTTTACTTTACTATTTAACTCTTCAAATAGCTTTTTATGTTTTTTTCTTGACTTGTAAACTTTTTTTTCCAACTTAATTTCCAGTAGGTAATATATCATTCCAGGGCTCATCTAATTGGTCAAATGCCAAAATAAGATGTACAGCCATGTAGCTGTAGCTTTGCTGAATGGCTGGATATAGATCTTGTGCTTCTAGACCTCACTTGCAAAACCCTCCATTTGTAAGTTTTATGCAACTGATAAAAAACGCTAACTTGCCCTATAAAGCAGAGGTCTTCAACAGGAGGTCTGCGACCCCTAGGGTGTCAGCGGAGGTACTGCATGGGGGTCGCGAAAGTCTTGGTTGATTACTTTTTTTTAATATTCCCTCCTGCAATTTTTTGCACTAATTAAAATGTCTTTAAATACACATTAACATGAATTCAACACACTGTAGTAAACAGATAAATGAAAGCAGAAGATGTCTTTCAGTCATCAATGCACACATTCAGCGACACACAGAAGCTCTTTCAATCTGGGCACCGTTTCATTCACAACACCTGTCCCATCAACCAGGATTCAGAATCAGAAATACTTTAATAATACCAGGGAGGAATTACTTTCCTTACACGACTCCATATGTAATAGAGTGACTATAGGACCAGTTTGATATAACACAATTTCATACAATATATATAATTAGGGGGTCCCCGCTCCATCTCGCAATCAGTTTGGGGGTCCTTGGCCTCGAAAACGTTGAAGACCCCTGCTATAAAGGGATAAGCGTTCCTGCGAGCAGGTACAGGGTTGCGCTTTTTTTTTTTTTTTTTTAAGTGGAGAGGGGGAACTTTTCAAAAATTTACAAAAATCCTCCACTATACCTTTAAAGGTTTCATTGTAAATTAAACATTATTCAAGTGTCTTAAAGTTTTATTGCTTATAAAGCTGGTTTCGTCTCTCCCTGGTCTTTTTAAGCGTTCTGATTTTATTTTTGATCATTTCAAAATGATCATTTGGAGCTTTTTTTAAATGAATTGTGGATTTCACTTCAAATTTATCTAATTGTTTTTCTATTGTTAAACAGTGATTGGATAATTTCCTTGACTCAATAGTACAGAAGATAACTTATTGTTCCTAAAAACAACCAGAGAAAATCCAGATTTGTTTTCACCAATCCGACAACAAAGATCTTATCCCTGCTTCCTTTTCATGCAGACCATAGATTAAAATGTGAAAATGCCCATAGAAAAAAATGGGAAAATTTAGAGTCATAGAGAGGGATTTTTATTTTTTTTTCCTCCACACCCACAGCCTGTTGAAAAGCTTGTGAGGGAGTGGGAGAGTTTAAAAAAAGGGCTGGACCATGTCTTCATTTACTTGAGGATCTCAATGACTAGAATTTAGGGAGTCCCATGAGAGACGGACAGAGTGAGCTTTCAACTGCTTTACCCAGTAATGCTGCTGCTACCTCTGCCTGCATGACTTCATGGTGCCTAATTGGTCCAACAACTGGAAACAGACTCTCAGCCTGATAACCTGCACATGGAAATCTGAACCTTTTCCATTACTTAAAGGAGAGCAGCACCTTAAAGCCTGAAGCGCTGAGTCAGCAACATTTAAAGGTATGCATCCTTAATTACTAATACCCACTAGAAGATGAAAACTTGTTCTATTTGTTATGGAATTGAAGTTCAGATTTTTATTTGTCATTTCAAAACCTCATGTTTGCTCTTATAGTTCTGAGAGGAAAGTCATGGTCCCCTCCCTGCACTGGCTGCTCCTGCTGTGGAGACTTCAGGTTCTGTTGGCTCAAGACTATGAAGGAGACTTAGAGGATGAGGTGGTCACCCCGAGGAGGAGAAGCAAACTTCTTGCACCTAATTCCATACCACAAAATGGCAGACGTAAGTTCCTCCTAATATAAAGAAGAGGTTGATAGTAAAAAAATGCTTCCAAAGTAAAAAAAAAAAAGAACATGATACAGAGCTATTGCTGAAGGATGCATTGCACATGAATTGATCATATCTCTCCTCTCCAAGCAATCCATCTCCAGTGTGACCGCTTAGTGCTCTGTTATCCAAATGTTTTATTCACTCAGAATCCATTTTTCCTCAGGCGCATTCTCTCTGGGACATATTCATGGGAAGATTAATGTGGTTTATACTCAGCCTGTATTAGATCTGCAACCTCCTCCTACAGCAGAAGGTTGATGTTGAAAATTTGTCTTGAAAATAAAAAGACCCACTTTCATAAAACCTATAATGCTTTGAAGAAATGCTGCAGAAGCTAAACAGCCAGTAAGTCAGCTATCCTGCTGCAGATGTTTTTTTCCACCCGTAAAGCTTCTTACTCACTGAGTCATGTTGATTTTGACCGGTTGGATCTTCATACTTGGCAGACAAAGAAAGAGATAAATGAGTTATTGATGAAAGGTTGAAAAGAAGTTTGGCTCCAGGAAACTGAAGAAAATAAATACACTTCTGCAGAACATGTGTTCGTTTTGAAGCCAAAGCGGCGAAAACAGGATATGGTCTTCTTAACCAATTAGGCCCCTTGTGACAAAATGAATCATCCCCTTGTAAAATCATTGATTATATCTAAAGAACTAAGCTAATCCTACCCGTTTTGACTCTTATTTATAGATTGGAGGATTGTTACCAACCAATAATAATAAAAAAATTGAACTGTAGTGAACTTTCCCACCAAAGGTGAAATGTCAGGCTCCAGAATAACATTTATCTCTAATAAATTTCTCAAATGGTGACTATATTCTCCCCAGCTCTCATTGATGAAGACTGCAGTTTGGAATTGGCCTTTCTGGTCGACAGCTCGGAAAGCGCCAAGGACAACCACGAACAGGAAAAGCGTTTTGTCGCCAATGTGATGGACCGACTGCAGGGCCTCCGGCTGCAGACCGGCCGGGGACTCAGCTCCCGTGCTGCTCTCCTCCAATACAGCAGCCAAGTCAAGATAGAGCAGACCTTCAAAGACTGGAGGGGCATTGATAATTTCAAAGCTAGAATTGCTCCCATTCCATACATAGGCCATGGCACCTACACCACCTACGCCATCACCAACCTAACACGCATTTACCTGGAGGAGTCGGACAGCAGCAGCATCAAGGTGGCCATCCTGCTTTTTGATGGCGTCTGGCACCCAAGGAACCCAGACATATTTTCAGCTGTGTCTGATGCGAAGAACCAAGGTGTTCGGTTCTTCACAATAGGGATCACTCCTGAAGCCAATGAAGCCGCCAATGTTAAGCAGTTAAGTAGGATTGCTAGTTCCCCAGCTACCCGCTACCTCCACAACTTGCAAGATGTTGGCATTGTGGATAAGGTCATCAAGGAGATTGTAAGTAAAACATATTTACTTGCTAGTAGACTAGACTGCATGCTGTATTTCAGAAAAATTAAGACTGACTTTTTTGTCATTTGTTGAAGCAGGTTTTGGTTATTTTTCCCTGCAGATACAAAAACGATAGTTTCAGAAACAGCTTTGAAAAATTCATGATGCATATTTGAAAATGTTAGTAGTATGTTTGCCACAGCCATTGGTGGCGCTATGACACTGCAATGCATGCACAACAAAAAACATTATGCATGTGTAGAAGGATTATGAGAGACAGAGCAATATGGCGGCAGTAAGGAACATGTGAACTGTGACCCCCGGCTCACACCGACTGCGGTCTTACCGTTGCGGTGCGGTGGGTGCGGCGCCGCAGTGATTCCAAGTCATTAAAAAGACGTAAACCTCTCTCACCTGAGCTGTCCGGCTGCGGTTACCGAGACACTCCGGCGCTGCAGAAAATTCAGCAAGAAAGCTATCCTTGCGGCGTGCCGGATCCCTCCGCAACAAGCTCTCGCAAATATCCTTATTTGGGCCGTGTTATCGCGTGAAGTTACGTGAACTCAAGTGAACTTCTGAGTTAAATCTCCGGACCTGTTGCCGGAGCCGCAGAGCCGCACCGTAGTCAAAAGGGCAGTGTGAGAGGGGGTGTGCGGGAGTTGCGGTCTCCGTCGGCTCGGTAACCGCACCGGAGCCAGTGTGAGCAAGGGGTGAGGGTTACATTGTCTTGTCGCAGTGTATATTGGCCCTTAGTCAACAGTTTACCAGGGCAGAGCCAAGCAGATGCATGAAAATTGAAGAAGCTTTTTTAATTTGCAGCAGTAAAGCATTGCATATTTTGGGAGTCTCAGTCTTCTCCTTGCTTTGTACCTCCATTAACATCTGGTTACCTGATTGCAGGACAGAGAAGGGGAACACAGGTGCAGTAGCTTAGCAAGTGATGAGGAGGAAGACCAATTAAAGACTTGATGACAAATAGACACATTTGAAAATGAAGTCCAGCTCTGCAGAGAGGAAAAAATGGGAGTAATAAGCCAATTCCTTTGTGTTCCAGCTAAAAGGGCTTATCGTTGTTATTGACAGCTTTGTTTGACTCAAACTCAAACCCTTTCGCTGTATTCAAGGGTTGGTACAAATTCCATATCCTATCTGCCTAATAGTAAATATAAATGCCAGTAGTGCTTAAAAAAATCAATAAAATTATACGGTTACAACAGGGCCAAGAAATATCCGAAATGACACTGAACAATACTGTGAATGTCTTTATCACTGATCCACACGTACGCTTCCTGTTCAGGACAGGATCACACAGACAATTCAGTGCTTTAAAGATGTGATGGAAAGTTAGTCAGTAAGAGGAATGGATGGAGCTTTCGTGTTTTCACATCAAGGACTGGATGGTTATTATTAATGAACGCCATATATTTTTTTCATCAAATCGTTCAGCCAAATCCAAGGAATACCCATAGCAACCGCCTTAACAACCGAAGGAGGTTATTAGAGATGGTGTTTGGGTTTTGATTGATTATTTTTTTGCTGTTATCTATAATGACAAGGAGATGTGTAGCGAAAAAAAAGAAAAGGCTAAAAATGTTCCTCATCTGAAGAGGCATCAGGCTGGAACATATGGGGCAGCAGTTAAAGGAACTATTCTGTTTGTCATCCATTGAAATACATCCACTTCATGGGGATTCATAACTTTGGGGAAGCCATAGCTATCCATTTCAGGATGTATATCTGCCATTTTGGCAATAATCCGGCTTTGGTAAGGGTAAAAAACAGTAGCCTCGTGAGACCATCCTGATCTCGCGAGCTTTCAAGATTTCACTCGCAGATCAGTCTGGAGACTCTCCGTTAAAGAAAATTTGGAGCAGTTCACCAAACGAACGTCCAATCAGCGTTGGCTTTGAGGCGGGTTGAGGTGTGATGCAACGAGAAGCGCGACAGTTCAGTCTAAAGAACATGGCGGCTTCGATGAAACGAGCGTTAGCGTTAGCGTGGCTATCGAGCGAGTTTTATCGGAATTACAGAGTATTTCTTCACTGAAAGAAGAGCAAAACACTGCTCTAGAGGCTTTTCTCAGAGGAAAAGATGTTTTTGCTCTTCTCCCGACTGGTTTCGGCAAGAGTAGCCTGGCTTGTGATTGTGTTTTCGTCGTCGCTCTGTTAGTACGTCATATACTTCGTTGACCTGATTGGTTTATTTGGCCCGTCTATCACCAACATAGGCCAATCAGCTAACCAGTATTTTCGCCCCTTCCCAAAATTACTTAAACGGAAGGTTTCCAGATGGATATGTGGAGCAAATCCATCTGGCGGAGTCAGGTTAAAAAAACAGAACCGGCAAAAGGTTTCTTTATTTTTCATCAATGGCATATTTCAAGAATCTAGTGCCAGCAGTAAGAGTTAAAATTTTAAGATCTTTAATCCTCCTGTAATTTTTTTTCATATTAATTGATTAGTAAGGCCAAAAACTTCCAAAATTTGGCTTTTAAGCACTGAATTAATCACTAAAACTGAGTTGTGGTTTTAGTTGAAGTTTAGGAATGTCACATTTTAAACTTTAATCCTTGTTCTGCTTCCAAAAAATTGCAGAAATTGTCTCCTTATAAGGTGCAGATTAAGAATCTGTGCCAGAGCCTTATAAGACATTTAATGGTTTCATTAGACTAACACCTGAGTTCTGCTCAGACAGAAAAAGTAACAGGTTGCTCATTTTCCCAAAACATAATATATGAAAACTTGGCAAGATTTTGAATTCTTTCAAACAAATTAATTAAGGAGACAGAACAGTAACATGTTTTCTGTGTTCATGCTCCGACTTGCAAAAAACATCCAAAGCTCACAACATTTCACTGGAACTTATGTCACCGGTGAAATTGCATGTTTGTTTGATAATTGTTTTTCTCCAGAGGGCAGAAATTGATTGGAGATGGAAGCATCAAAAAGCCATTATGTGAACAGGCGCTTTCCAAATGTTAGCACTTCTAGTTTCACAATGCACCCCATAACAACTTCCCCAGCTTCCGCTGCCGATGACAGCCAACGCTATGATTTCCTGGCTTATTGCATCCCTAATGTACACCTGCTGCTAGACTAACAGGTCTACTCTAAACGCTGGTAACTTAGATTGCCTCCTACACGCCTACTCAAATCAGCAGCAGGGCTAAAAAACATAGAGATTTGTCTGTAAACATTCATATTTAAAATTTAGAAATGCCAAAGCATTTGCACCTGATTGTTTAGGTTAACTTTAATGATTTTTTTTTATAAGCCACTGTTGGGTTAATAACAATATGTGCTGCACAACAACATCCCACAGTCAACATCTTGACTTTTGGTCGGCACATATGCTAGGTATTAAAACTCACTGTGGGGAAAAAAGGATGAAGTAAGCGCCAGAATCTAGTAAGAACATGCAACACATGCAATTTTATCCAACAAACACTACTTTAGGCTGGAGCTGAAGTGTTGACACAGGTGGTACACATCGAAATGCCATGAATGGTAAAGTTTATGGGAAACTTGTGCAAAAACATCCAAAGCATAGCATCTGACAGACCACATTCTGCTGGCATGCTAAGGCTCAGCAGCAGCTAGGATCAGACTTTCATCTCATTTCCTTGTAGAGGCAGCATCTGTATGTCATAAGCATGTGCCTCTGTACCAGCTCAGAGGTTTTCTTTCATCTTTGGTCGCTTCATTAAAGATGTAGCTCTATAAGATCCTGCAGCCTGTTTGCATGGCTTTACGTCCCATTGCTCGACCTTTTGTCGAAATATTTTATCGCTCACCATGTTTTCCTTTAAATGGATGTAGAGTTACATATTGGACAATTTGATCTGCTTTCAAAAGAAATCAGAGTTCTGGCAAGATGGGTCATATAAGACAAACAGGATGTAATCTGAGGAACCAGATGGGTTATTGTTCAGTCCTTTGTGGAGAACGGATTTAAAAAAGGAGACTTCAAGAAAGATATTTCATAGGCGACTGCTTAAACCATCTATTATTACATATCATAAGTAAGCTTCAAACAAGAAGATCAATCAGTCCCACTAAGCTGAGCCCTGTCATGCCCAGTGCAGTATATAAATATACAAGTCTTCTTTTAAAATCCAGTGACTCAGACTAATTGACTCTGTTGTGTTTTTTGCCCACAGACAGCGCTGGCAGATGAAAATGTAAGTATTAAAACTACAATTATTCTAAATTGTGTTTGGTTTTTGGTCCATTTGCTCTTTTTCACTCTCAGTTTTGATGGTTTTGCAGTGTCCATTATCCCAAAGTCAGTGTCAATGTGAGAAAGGTGAGAGAGGACCCACAGGTTCTCCAGTAAGTTATACTTCATCGTTATCCTATCATACATAATGGCTTTTATGTGGCTTAGTCATTGAGCAGCTAACAAGGTACTAATCTGGGAATAATAATTTTGCTCATATGCATAAATTAAAGTAGTTTGTAATAGCATTCAGCCATTTTAAACCATAGGTAACCACAGTATTATGGATATATACATGTGACTCAAAGGCAGACAAACCTGAAATAAAAAAAATAAAAAATAAAAAAAATTAGAAAATTGAAAAATCATAAAAAAAATAAAATAAAAAAAAACATTTTTGGAAAAAAAAAATCTAAAATAATAATAAAAAATACATTCAAAAAGCATCCAAAAAAAAAAAGAAAAAAAAAGAAAATCTGTGAATCTCACTTTGAAAATTGTAATTTCTAAAGCATAATCTGAAAAAAAAGAATTAAAACAAAAAATAAATTTTTAAACCATAAAATCTGAAAATATATATAATGTTTGGGAAAAATGCAAAAAAAAAAAATGAGAAAATAAAAAAAACAGATAAAAAAACTTTAATCAGAAAACAGCAAATTTACAAATTCTAAAATCTTTTTTATTTAAATGTTTTTCTAAGTTTCATATTTGAACTGCATTTTCCTTAAAATTCAATCAACTATATGTGTTCTTTGCTTGCAACAATGAGAGAAAAAAAATTGACTTCTTTCTTTACAATATTTGGCTTTATTACATTTTTAAAAAAAGTCACTTTTAAATACATCAAACCTGGAAATGTCATCAGGGGCGTGTCCAGACATTTTTGATAGGGGTGGCACCAGTGGGGCACTGACTTATGCAGGGGTGGCATGAAGCATGAGCAGGACCGCCTGCGCACAGACATATATACTCACATATGCACGCACACATGCACACAAGAAAATACACACCCACACCTAGACTTTGGTATATATATATACGTATTGATATTTGCTTGATGAAACTGTGCAGAACTTGGTAGAGGTACAGACTGTACAAAACAAATATAGCTTACCTTACCATGCCAACATAAGTAAACAATGCACATTTAAAAAAAAAAACCTATAAAGTTTTTAAACACCAGTATTATTGGTATCCTGATCTAAATAAAAGAAGATACTGTGATGTTAATTTAAAAAAAAGGTAAAGCATACATACTATGCTGCATGTGTGATGGTGAAGGGCCCTCATCACAAGAATCTTCACCTGATTCTGCAATAACACATAGGTGGTCATTAGAATGAAAATGTGCCTAATTATATTATACTTCATATGAAAAATGAATTGTTAAGACATACCAATAGGTCCCGGCTGGCTATAAGAGGCTCCCACACCACTATCCCCCTGTGGATGGCCTGCAAGAACCTCAGCACTGGACACACCTGTAGCAATACAAAGATTTTATCAGTTCATTATAATTCAAATTGTCACATTTAGGCTTTTCACACCAGTATTGTTTAAAAAATTGTCTACACACTTAATGACAGTATATGACACTGTAGTATATTTGAAATATCTCAGTTCGAATCAATGTACATAATGTTTTAAAGAAGGTAAATTCATACATACCCTGATATGTATGTGATGTTGAGGGTGACTCTATAATAATACATAAGCTGTGATTAGAATGATAATACAATCAGCCTTTCCTAAGTAAACTAAGAGGTATGGTACAATCAAACCAAATTAGTAAGTTCAAACATGAGAACAAACTTGAACTACCAGGATTTCACATACCAATGTGTACAGCTGAGGCTGAAGGCTGGCTCTCATCCTGTGACTGACTGCTCTGCCCCTGCTCTGGCTCTATCTTAGATTTCTTCCTTGATTTCCTTGATTTCTTGATTTCTTCCTTGCGAATTTCATACTGTAATAGTCCCATAATGCACGACATTCTTATATGTTGTACAATAAATAATTGTGCACACACAAGAATGAAAATGAAATGTAAATGATGTTATAGGGGTCTAATATAACAGTTTTACTCAGTACAGAATAGCTAAATGTTAGCGTTAGCATCGTTGACAGTCAAAACAGTGTTTTCTAACTAGATGAGGAGACGACAGCCGTGTGCCAATTACAATAAAACAAACAAGACAGGGTACATGTTTAGCTTATTACCGTTACAGCTTCTAACTACAGGCACAGTAAGTGTAGTAAAATGTAGGCTACTCACATATTTCACAACGTCGCGCCAGAGACGTGCTGCTTTCTGATAGACTGGAGAATGTATTCACCTGTAGGTTCATCAACGTCTTCTTCGCGCCTTCTTCAACTCAAAACAAGAGCGCATTTTACGTTCAGTGCAGTGGCCCGCCTCTGACTGGGCATATAGCCAATCATATTTTAAAATTTTGGGGTGGAACTTGGGGTGGCCAATCAGATTTCAGGGGTGGCCTGTGCCACCCAAGGCCACTCCCTGAACACGCCAGTGAATGTCATGAGGTTAACCCGAAATTGTCTTGTATAAAAGATCCTTCATTAGGCTCATATAAAGCTGGTTTCACTACAGCTTTCTGGCAGGACAGGACCATCTCCGTCTTTCAGCATTGCTGGAAGAGAGATATAAAAATATCTTGTTTTTCTCACTGAGGCTTTTCAAAACAAATCTTTCTGTTTAATTTTGAAAATTGAATAAATGACTGCCTCATTTATCAATCCTATCATACTTTTTCTAATAAAAAGGAGTAATTAATTAGGGGTGTTAAACAATCCCAACATGCAACGCAATAAATAGAGGTATTTATTAATAGAAGAAGAAAAAAATAATCTTTTGGAAAGATTTCTCCCTCTGATCGTGTCACAGCTTCAACCTGTGATTCACTCACGAGAACAACCAAAATATTTCCAATTTTAATTAGTCTTTCTTGCAACTTACAATTTCTGATTGGGAGCTATTTGTGAGGTGCTAATCTCCTCTTGTGACCACTTTGTAAACTGCACAACGCACAACACCTGGTTGGGCCAGGAGTCAGTCTGATCCCCAAACCTCTGACACAACTGGGAAAATCACCTCAAAAACAACCTGGAATGGTGTGTGCCAGGCTTTAGGCTCGTCCCAAATCAGAGGTTCAGTCCCTTTTGGAGTCCCCAAAATGACCTTAGAGGAGGGGTAAGACTAAGGCAGAAACACAAACTGGTCTGAGTTTGGCAGATGGAGGCCCCCTACTGGCCAGTACATACAAAATCTAGAACACATGTCATGCCACACTATGCAGATGCTCTGTCTGCACAGATGAAACCTGCCAAACAGTTAAAGTGGCTGCAGCAGCATAACAGGCTGCACATAACAGGCTGCTAATTAGTGCGCCGATACCAATACCAGTATCAAGCACTAAAATGGTGGTATCAGCGAGTACCAACAAATAGGGCACCAATACCATTTTGAGAGTCAAAAATGTATTCAACAATTATCACCCATTCCAGATAGGCAATAAAAAGTTCTACTGGATTCACTTTGTATTAGTCTTTTTCCTGCTTCACAAAGGTAGGCAGCAGCTTGACAAAGCCATTATGGCAATTATTTTACATTCAAGTAGTATGCAGTTCTTCATATAATAGACATCTAACCAGAGTAAGTGCAGAATAGCAGATTTAGACCAGTTATCTCAAAAAGCAACAATACATTCAAAAAGGGGTGCATAACTGATTTCTCTACCATTCCTGCAAATATGAGAGGGCAGTAAATAGGTAGACTGGTTCTGGCACTAGGGATGAGGTATGTACCCAAAGGAGAAAAAAATCTTAACTCAGGTCACCAAGCCTCTTTTACAGCTATTACAATTACTTCTACCTACCAACCAGTGGTTTAGGCGACACCTCAGGAAAACAGCCTCTCTGTTCTATTATCAGACAATCAAACGTGAAGTTTACCAAACCCTCCTCAGACCAGCAATGCATTAAAATTATTAACCCATCAGCATAGTAGAGGATCTATAGTAATGTGGGCCTGATTGTCTGAGAACCTTATTAGAAAGGACCAGAAGCTCTGGATGATCAGAAGGATGCAAGAGGGATTTTACAAAGAAAACCCAACAAATGGGGTTCAGGAAGTGTTTTTTACCCATTTCATTAAAATCACTAACCACATCCATAATAAACCACCTCTGCTGTATTCTGCTCCTCTGCTGCTCCCAGGCATTAAATCTGTCTCCTTTACAGTCAGTGAAGAGGACGGCACCGCAGACAAAGACTCCTACAGGCCACATAATTGCAGGGTTCAGAGGAGTTTAGTGACTTGTGCGGGTTTTTAGAAGTCTTGTCTCCCCGAAGCAGCAAGAGTAAAGCGGATGCCTCACATTCCTCCAACAGTTTATGGAGAACAGGTCTAAACATATATTTACATGGGAAATCAGCAGGGTCACGTCTGTTGAAGGAATCCAGCCTCTTGGGGTCTGTCTGAGAACACATGCTTGGCAGATCCAATGCTACATGCAGGACTTTCTTTGCTTGCCAGACATGTCGTGATATGGACTTGCCTTTTGGTCCAAAGAAAAGGTCAGTCTCAATCAGACAAGGTGATTATTGCTTTGAAGTATTTTCTCTGGATTAGAGCAAAGTAATTACCCAGAAGGAACTCTGAACAAAAGCTGTTATACATCAGGAGCGTCAGGGGATGCAGTGATGGAAGCAGTGTGTGTGGCCACAGATAGCAGGGATAGACTGAACACTGGAGTGTTCACAGAATCAAATACTGGTAAAAAGGGACAATTAAGCTTTAGTTAAGTTCGACTGATGACCTAAGCTATGTTTTTTTAAACAGATAATCTCTTCTATTGGTATGAAGAGCTTTAAGTGCTGAAGATGGAAGTTTTAAAGACCATTAATGGTTCTATTCAATGATGGATCTCTATGATAACACCCAATACTTCTGGATGGTCTTTATTCATTAATTTAATTCAATTCAGTTTATTTAGCCAATTCACAACACACGTCATCTCAAGGCACTTCATAGAGAATATTTAACCAGATCAGACTGGGTCAGAGTTTTCTATCTAAGGAAAACCAGCTGATTGCATCGACTTAATGTCTCAAAGGCAATCCCTCACACCAAGCATGTTTGTTGCGACAGTGGAGAGAAAAACTCCCTTTTAACGGGAAGAAACCTCCAGCAGAATCAGGCTGAGTTTGAGCGGTCAATTGCCAAGGCCGACTGGGGTTCAAGGAGACAGAAGCAGAGATACAAAACGAAGCAAAGGTACAAAAGGCAACTGTCAACCAGCTCCACAGGTGGCCCCGGCCAGGAAACACACAAAGCACAGCCACGCAGACAAGCCCCTGAGCCAGCTCCCGTGTCAGAGGATGAAAGAGAGCACATACACTTAGTCACAGTCAGAGAAACAGGACTACACTGAAAAACAGGCCAAGCTCCAACATACATCATCTATAAACAAAGTTGTTGTTGGCAGCAGCACAGCTGTCACGAGTACAAGGCAACGAAATATGATTTGCATCTATCCAGAAGTGCTATACAGAATATAAATATTATTACAGGTGTATGTAAAAGCAAAAAGTAATAGTTAGGGACTGTAAAAAGTTGTGTATAAATATGAATATGAATATGGGAGCTACATGCACAGATTATACAGAATATACAGGAATGTTAGGAAAAGGATTATATATGTATTAGCGGGTTTATAATACAAGATAAATAATGGCAGATAAGATTTACAGATTGTATACAGATTGAGTGAGGAACAGTGTGAGGAAAGTCCATATGTTATTATTGTATGGGGGGATACAGTCCTTATAGTTGTGTCAGGAGGCGTTCAGGAGCATGACAGCTGTGGGAAAGAAGCTGTTCCGGTGCCTGTTGGTACTGGTCCATAGGCTTCTGAAGAGATTGAACTAACAAATACTGCAGAATGGGAGCATAGAGAATGAAGCAGGATGATAAAAAGGGGTCCCCATGTCCTCCAGCAGTCTAAGCCTACAGCAGCATAACTATAAAGATAGCTTAGGTTAACCTCAGACACTCTGACTAAAAGCTCTATCAAAACGGCAAATTTTAAGCCTACCCTTAAAAGTCATCTTCAAACCCATAACCACGACTCAAAGAAATTAGAAGAAATATTCAACAGCTCAAAGCCCATTTATCAGCTTGTTGTCCTTGACTTAAGAGTTATTACACAAAAGAAGAAATGAGTAGTCTGAGGTGGTTAAGATGTTTTTTTTTTAATCTTAAAACGCCTGACTTGTCTTCTTCAACAGGGAAAGAAAGGACGTCCAGGAGAAGATGGAAGCCCCGGCCTGAAGGGGAAGAAGGTGCTGCTAACCCTCAGCTATAAATATGTTTTTCTAAAAATAAATCTACTATACTAAGATGCCCTTTTCAAGTTAAATCAAATCATCTTCCCTTAGGGTGAAAGTGGCCTCAGTGGACTTCCAGGTCAGGAAGGAGCAGAGGTGAGCCTAAGGTCTTCCCTTTGGTCCACTGAGTTGTCCTCTGTGCAAAACATCCACCAAATGCTATATATTTTTTTTGCAAATTGGCATCTCTTGTGTACTCCTGGGTAAACAAAGCTGTCTTACACACACAGGGTAAGCCAGGATACAAAGGAGAGAAGGTACTGTATGGATTCTGGTGCAAACCCCTCTTCTACCTCTTTAGTTTCCAAAACACAAGGTTCCCACATTCATTTAAAGTCATTATAAATGGCAGTAAGAGGATTATGAGCTTTAGACATGATGACAGGCTTCAAATGTAAAAAGACTGTGGCATTTTCTTGCCCTTTGTTCAACCATGTTTCCTCTTAAAACTGTCTGCATGTGTCTGTACATTCTTGTGTCTGTTTCTGTGTATTCCCATGGCATTAGTCGTGCAAATGAGCTCCGAGCTAAACCCATAAACATATGTATTTTTTTAAAGCTAGATTGTGTTTGAGACTGCAGTATTTATCAGAGGCATGGTATTTGAGTTGGATGCCTTGTAGGAACCTGAAATTTGTTTATTCTCTCACAGGGAGAGAGAGGAGAGTGTGGCACACCAGGCGTTAAAGGAGACAGAGTATGTTTGTACATATTTCTTATTCTAATGTTAGAGTAAATATAATCTATTTGAATATAATGTACGTTTGCTTTCCTTTTAAATCTATCAAATTACTTTCTAAAGGATAAAAATGTGTTTTTCAGGGTCCTGAAGGCAGTATTGGTCCAAGAGGAAACCGTGGACTTCAGGTTCTTCTAACTTTTCCATATTCTGATATCAGAATCAGTTAAATCCAGCTACTGTTTATTCACAGCCAAAGATGTAAAGTTGATAAAAAAATATTTTTAAATTTTTAATTGAAAAATTGCATGTAGCTATACAAACTAAATGTTTTTATTTTTATTTTTTCTGACACTGTTTTTATGCTTTTGTACGGTGTCCTTGAGTGTCCAGAAAGGCGCCTTTTTAAATAAAATGTATTATTATTATTATTATTTTTTTTGTTGCTTTTAAGTCCACGTTTCAGATTATCAAACAGGTGATAATTACAAAATATGAATGAGAACAAAAAGCAGCTATTAAATCATAATTTCCTTTTTCATTTAAGGTGGTTTGTATAGCCTTTGTCACTACTTAAAGAAAATTAATCTGTCTTTTTCATGACCTCATTTGGTTTTGTATTATATTTAGACTTGATCTGAAATGTTTTTAATTAGGAATAATAAACTGTAATTGAGAATGTATGTGTTAACAAATAGGAAAAAAATCAAAATGAACATTTGTTTTTTTAGGGCTTGCCTGGGCAACCAGGTGACATGGGACCTGAGGGAAACATGGGCAAAAAAGTAAGCGTTTACCTCTGATATTCTTCAATTTTAATATTAATCTTTTTTTTTTATAAACTTGCTCTTTGATTTAATTTTGTGATGTAAATTTTAACAGTTCTGTTATGAGCCTAAGGATTAACCAGTAGTGCTGCCTTCAATAAAGCCATGTTTTTTTTTCTTTACAAAGCAGCAAATGTGATTTTTTAAGTGGAAAAACGTTTATTTAATATGGAAAAATTTCCACTTCAACATAATAAACTTGCTTTTCAAGGTAAAGCAAGTTTATTATGTAGCACATTTAAGTAGTGCAACAATTGAAAGTGCTGTAAATTAAAACAAAAAACAACAACTGCATTGCAGTGGGATACAGGCAATCCAGATAATAAGGAGGATAAAAAATGTTAATTAGAATAGGATAATTATATTTCAACATGATTGATAGAAATGAAAAACGTCTGCCTGAACTAACAAATAATATTTTTTAGATAGCACCTGCAAAGGCTGCTCTTAAGAAATGAATTCTTAATCTGGATTTAAAACAGTTTTGGGTTTATGTCCTTTTTTTGGTTTTCTTACTCAATATTTGTAAAGCATTCAAACTAAAAGCTGCTTCTCCAAGTTTGGTTGTGCTTATGGCAGTACAGAGCAAATTACAGGTCTGGGCGGGTGATAAATTGAAAGCAATTTGTGATGCATATTGGAGACACTCAGTGATTTATAGACTAACAGAAGTATTTTAAATATTCCCTGGGAGTCAGGGAACCACTGTAAGGACTTTAGAACTGAGGTGATGTACTATCTTAGTACTAGTGAGGACGCAAACAGCAGCGTTCTGAATCAGTTGCATAAAATGTTTTTTCAAGGTCCTACTGCCACATTAGTCCTTTAATCCTAAAGATGTTCTTTACATGATAGAAGGACAACTTTTTTACCGTCTTCACATGCCTTTGAAGTCTCAGGTCTGAGTCCATCACTACACCCAGATTTAGTGCCTGATTGGTTGGGTTCTTGCTGCGTAAACTTGAGCTCGGTGCTAACTTTTCAGCACTATTCCTTTAGTTAAACAACGTGTACTTCAGTTTTGTTTTAATACAGCAGAGGAAAATTGTGCCACGTCCATGTATTGATTTCTTTTTTGCATTTACAGCAGCAGTTGAATTGGTTCATAGTTACCTAGTGATTTCATAATGTACAGCAGTAGGTCGTTCAATTGGATCTGAGTTAGGGAAGCATGTAGATTGTAAATACGAAGGGCCCTGAGATGGACTCTTGTGAAACGGCACATGTGATATTTGTTTCTGATGTAAAATTCCCTACTGACATAAAAAAAACCTGTTGTTTCAATACCATTTAAACCAGTCCAGCGCTGTACCAGAAAGGCCGACCCAGTTTTTCAGCCGCTCTAATAAGCTCTTGTGATCAACACTGTGGAAGGCTGCACTAAGTGCAGTAATGCCAGCACTGTGGTTCTTCCAGTCTGCATTTATATGGGTGTCATTGAAAGCCTGACTGGAAGATATCGGAGACACAATTGGTCTTTAAATACATTAAATACTGTAACATATGTAGTTTGTTCAACAGCCAAAATAGACCATTTCCCCCCAACGTGTTCAAGATTATTTTCCTGTGCAACATAAATATACAACATCTACAACACATCTCATGCTACACTATCCAGACGCTCTGTCTGCACAGACGAAGCCTGCCAAACAGTTAGTGGCTGCAACAGCATGATAGGTTGGACTATTTCCTGTTTAGTTCAGCTTTTCATTATTTAACCCCTCAGCAGTGGTAATAGATATTGAGTTTTGAGATAAGTTTGAGATAATCTCAAAAAGCGAACAATATAAAAGAAAAAGTGGTGCATATATGATTTATCTTTATTTAATAATTAGATTTTTGTCATCATGCACTTTATATCAAAATGATTAGCCTTTAATACATTTAGATGCAGCTTCAAATGGTAAAATATGATAACACTGTGAAAGCAGCTCTGTGACCAATAATTAGACATTAATCTGCCAAAGTAAAACTTTCTTAAATCAGTCCAACATTTCATTTACTGATTCTCAGTCGAGAGTCCTTTGAATCAGCTTTTTTCTTCTTGATATGACCTTTTGTTGTCACATCCAGTCGCTAAACAGCTTCATCTTTGGCAATCATCTTTCCCCAGCAGTGGCTCACTGTTGAACCTGGGTCAAAAATAGAGGCTGACAGGAAACCTTCCACATCTCTCCCTTATCGACAAATAAAGAGCATAAGGAGGTCACCTGGAAAGACTAAAGAGTTACCCAGTTTGTGATGGAGCATGACCTGAAGGATTACAAATTTAGATTCTCCTATTCACGCCTTTCTTAAGCCTTTTATTTAAATTAAGACTGTGAGCATTATGGGCTGATAAAACATTTTACAATCAAAAATATTGATATCCTAATACAAAAAAACAAAAAACATAATAGACACATTTATAGCTCCTATAGCAATCTTATATTCCAGTTCTGACCTCGGAGACTAATAATTAGGTGGAGGGAAATTGATTACATTGGACTATGTTTGAAGCTGTTAAAGCTAAAAAAAAAAAACTTTAAAAGAGCTATATATATATATATATATATATATATATATATATATATATATATATATATATATATATATATATATATATATAGCTATATAGCTAAGGAACTGTTTGTGAACATCAACTTATGATTAAAATGTCCAAAGCCATGAAAACCTTACAAAACAATAGCCAATGCAGCATGCAGATGCAGCAACATGTACTGTAAGGGAACATAGCATTGTGTTGGAGGAGTTGACTTATACTCACATCATATAAAAAATGATGACATACCCTTTATTAAGGCCATTAATCAGCATATTTAAGCTCACTTCTGTATATTTGAGAAAATAATCCTTTCTGAGTGGAGTTTGGATGGTGGGCCTGTGAATGCTCAGGGGTTCTCTGGTTACTCCACTGCCCCCCCTGAGCCAAAAAACATGATTTTTCAGGTAATTGCAGACACTCATGAATATGAGGTAATGGTAAAGGTTCTTTGTGTTGCCCATGTTATAGACTAGTAACCAGTCCTAGGAACAATTCCTGAAATGATCCCTGAACAGATTCCAGGACCATTTCCTTGACTGGACCGAGAGTAGGGATACACCTTTTTAGCCTTTGTTGATACTAACCTAAAGACGTTTGGTTGAACTAGATTTTATTTAGGAGTATCAGCATGAGGAAATCTTCTAACCGATGGATGACCTTTTGCAGTTGATCTGTTGAATTATAAATAAAATCCATGGAGATAGTGATGAGAAAATGGTGCTATTAAATTTATCGTTATTACCCTTTGCTCTAGTTGCAGATCACATAAATAAGCGGTAAATTAAGGCCCAATTTGAACTTGGTTAGTTTTGGTTTGACCTCATCCTCAGTTTTAACTTCTTTAGAAAATAAAAACTTAAATATCCTTTTAAATCCCATTGTTCTGACTCAGAACCTGGAAAACGATGAAGCCGTTTGTTACATCATTCCAAAATCCAAGAGAAGAACAAAACCAAACTTCCAGAGGCTTAGAAATTACACTGGATCAAAACCACTGCCAACTTTTAAATATATCCATACAGAAGACATATCTATGATATCATCCAAACTTCCTGTTTGATCATTTTTAATAATCCTGGGCAACATCTTAGTGTTAATGTCAGCTTTTAAGTGCCAGATGAGTTAATAAGTAACCCCGATCTGTTTTCTTTCAATCTGATTTTTGGTATAAATCCTGGAGAAAAAACACCGACCATGACCCACATACTGCAATACCTGCAGGAATGGTGGGGGTTAGGAAAGATAAGACTCCGATGGAGGCATGTGATTAGAGAAAAAAAAAGATTGATCTTGAGGGTTTTTCTCAGAATAACAGCGATAAATAACACCCGCTCTCACGAAGCTGACATTTATGGTGCTTCCGATTAAAATCACCTAACACTGGCATAAATAACATCAGAAATGTCAAGTATCTTAAAAAGCTCATAAAACGGATGAGGAAACTATACATTTGAACATTTATTGGTGAGTTGCAATCCGCCGTCGCTGTGACATTTGCAACTCCTCTGAAGAAGCTCATCTGTTATTAACTCGTCGGCTCATTTGTCGGACGCTTCTGCTTTTAGCTCTCCGTACCGGCTTCTACCTGCCATCTCTGCCATAAACGCATGCTCCCCACCAACTGGTCGCCTCCTAATTATTTTAGAAGAATGTTCATGGTAATAGTCTGGCTGTCATCCCACATCAACGTAATAGCATAGTAATGTCTGTCTCAAAACATTGTCCTAACTTGCTTAAAAAGCAGAGAAAAAAGCGCCGGTATGCACCCAGGACAACTTTCACGCCCCTTTTCCCGCCTCCCACCTGCCCTCTTTGTGAACACAGCTGTGATTTACCACCACGATGTAAAGAAGCAACTGCATTTAAGAAAACAATTAAGTCTGGAATGAGGTATTAAAACAGGACAAAGAAAGTGTTGTGTTTTTTGTGGAGTAACATTTATTTTCTTGCATCTTGCATCAGTAAATGTTGGCAGCTACACTTCGTAAACAAGAATGTGCATAAAAACTATGGTGCCTTTTTTATAGGGGGAAAGGGGGCTTCCTGGACCACCTGGAATTCAAGGTGAAACAGGGATCGGCCTCCCAGGACCAAAGGTAACATTTACTGCCATTTTGTTCTGAAAAATCATTTCATAGGAACATAATGATCAACCTGTGTGTTTCACTCTGTCTAAGCACTACCTTGGCTATCTCGCACTCTGCAGGGTGATGTGGGTTTCCAGGGGCAACCAGGGCCTCCCGGTCCTCCAGGAATTGGCGAGTCCGGACCACCGGTGAGTTAGAAACGAGGACAAAACATGTCACTTGTGTAATATAGATGGTGGTAGAGGAGTAAAAAAGGAGTCTGTTATTATGCTCTGAGTTTTTACTCTTCCATCTGGCTTGTTACCATACGAAGCAGTGGCAGTTCTAGATGGAATTTTTCTGGGGGGGAACAGTTTTTTTGCCATGGGGGCAAAGAACAAAAGGATAAAACAATAAGAAAGAAAACAGAGCAAACACATTGTTTAGTGTATAAGACAATGGCGATCCTATGTTAGGTACAGCTCAAGGTTAAAACTGACAGTAATTTCTAAATAATAGTCAAACTAAATTGTGGCTAAAGGTAAAATCAGTTACAGTCCCTTAATTTGAAAAAGTAAAGGAAAGAAGAAAAATAATTAAGTGCTATACACTTGAAATAAGATAGTAAAGTTGTTTTTTTTCTTATTTTAAACATAAATCATCTTATTCCATCCCCAAGTTGTCTTAACTACCTAATCATATTAGGTAATATCAAGGTACTAATTTTAAGATTAATTAATTTGATCTAAAATCTTGCAGTTTATGTTTTCAGTACAGGGGCCATGATTAGTTTTCATGGGCACTGGCCCCAGTAGGGCCCCATCTAGAACCGCCCATGTGAACTGCGGACTTCTAGAGGAACTTTTCGTCTCTGTTGAATTTTGTCCACCGTCTGAAGAAGATATAAAACTATGCAAACACTTAAATAACAAACTAATAGTGTTAATGCATTTAATAGATCAGTGATTTCAGAATAATATGTAATTGAGATTTTGACATAAACATTATGAAAATCATAAAGTTACATTAGGAATTAGCATCCTCAGTGTTGCTCTGTATGAGTATCAGTCTCCATTTGTACTTACTATAGAATGTAGACATTTTATATCCTTAAAGGCTTACATTTAATAACACAACACCATCTTTAGCACGGCCATTCTCAACATTGGGTTGCAAGATGATTCCTGGAGGTCAGCAAAACCTTTTGAGAAAATATAAAGCTCAAAATTAAGCTTCTGTAGCTTCTGACTGGACGGCGAGCGGTTGGTTGCAGTTGGTCATCAGAACTGCGGGACGCCGTGCTGGATCTCTGATCTCACATTACTGTTTTCTCTGCATGCACACTGGAATGCACACTGGGTAGTGTTGACCTTGTGGTTAGAGCAGTGCACTTGTGCTCTGAGAAGTTTGGGTTCCTGTGCAAGAACTGTAACCCCCGATTGCTCCCTGGGCGCCACATAATGGCAGCCCACTGCTCCAGAAGAGGATATGTTAAATGCAGAGATAAATTGGGGATATAAATATTTATTGGGGATGGAAGGGAATAGGTAGCCTGACGTAGTCCTACTCAATTCTAGTCAGAATATGAGTCTGATTCTGCTCCATAGAGCTGTGATTATGGGGCGTGTTTTGAACGAACCAGGATTAAAAAATTCCTCTGCACTCAATTGGATAGACCTACAACCAATAAGAGTAACGGAGTGCGTGACGTATGTTAAGCGACGCATAGTTGTTGTCAACAAAAATCAAAGCGTGCAGTTGCACACCTAGAATAAGAAGATGAGCCTTGATCGCGTTTCTCTGTTCCTCTTTTAAAATTAATTTGCTGTCGATATCTTCTAGAACAGACCTAATAGCAGAATCTACACACCTCAACTCTCCAGCGGCAGCCATTGTTGTCACCCAAGCGAGCTTTGGTCACGCGGTTGATTACGTTACTGTTGATCATCTGTCCATAATCGTATAAAGCCCGCCCTGACAATTTGATTGGCCCGCCAGATATTGTGCGAGCATACTCGCGCTACTACGGAGCAATGCCAGACCGAACTTCGGGACCTCAAACGTTGTGGGCGGGACTAAGTTCGGAATGGCACCCAGGCTAGGGAATGGGGGGGTTGTGGACAGCACTGCATGTTAAATTGTGGATTGCGACTCCCAGCTCCACTATGTAGCCTACTGAATAACAGTTCTGAATCTTTAGTTAAGTATAAAATAAAAAGCGCTCATCACAGTCTAGCTGTGAAATAAAATTTCCCTTTTATTTACAACTCAGTTATGTAAGTCACAAAAGGAAGTTAGAGGTTTAATATTTTTTGTGAGGTTACAAAAAATGAGCATCTTTTGTTCTTTTTGGTATCAGGACCACCTTAGATCTTTATGATTCGGACTCCCCTGATGAGCTTAATGTTTACTTCCAGCCTGTATGCTGAGAACAGGACAGCACAATGGTCGCCCACATGTTCAATTTTAGCAGAAAAGAGCTTCAGTCACTGTGCAGGCTGGACAAGCACTTCTTCATGGGTTTGGAAGCTAAGGAATTTATATTAACGCCCTTTGGTTTTATTTAGGGACCTCAAGGGCCTCAGGGAGTCCAAGGAGAAAGAGGACCGACAGGAGAAGGTCTCCCTGGACCAAAGGTGAGTGGGTGTCCGTGTCTTTTATGTCTAAAGCTCCTGGGACAGACGGTATGGCCTAAAAGAAACATGCACTCAAGCCGGCTAAAAGCTTCAGCCTTTTGACTCGTCTTTCATGCATCCGAGTTCACTCCACCGGTCCACCTTCTGACCCGCGCAGAGAAGAGATGTCTGGGCTCCAGATTGTGAAGCATTACTACAGGAAATTGACATGGCGTACGGATACTAGACATGATAACACATGACAGAAGCATCATAAATTCCCACACGGAGCTGCAGTGTTGCTTCCATTACCTCATGCCGTGGTGAAGTCTATTGATCGACCCGACAGGAGGAGATGAGAACATCTCGGCGCGCAGAAGATTCAGAGACGGAACGGGAAAAGGGGGAATAAAAAGGCCAGGACACCCCCACAGTTCAGACAGTGATTCAGTAAGAAAGACCTGATCTGTCTTACAGTGTCTGTGTTTTCTCAGTCCAACATCTATAAAGAAACAAACAGAACATCTCTCACATGTAGAAACACTCCTCCTTTCTAGAGGCAAAGGAACGTGATGTTATTTATCATATTAATGTTAACTTATAGTGTTTGTTTTTTCTGTACTTTATCATATCACAACCAACACAATACAGATTTGTTCACTGGAAAATTGTTTTACGAATATATATTTTTTATTTATATCCAGCCCCTTTTACTCTGTTACCCTAAATACCAATCAATGCAATCAGGTTAAGACTTTAGAATGATTTCCCAAACTTTTAACATCTATTTAAGAAGGATGATAACTTTTACAAAGCAAAATTTGAAATGCTAAATGTTCAAATTACAGCAAAATAATTTCTTAACAATTGACTTATTCCTTTGGATAATTTTTGTCCAAAGTTGCTCACAGTAACCAACTAAAACCCTGATGATTAACGTAAAAAAAATGTCAGACCTCAGGTTTGAATTCCTATGGAGCTTCTGTGTTTCGACAGAAGAAAATATTAAAGGAAGCCTGAGCAAACTGCCTTCAGGACATGACATATATAATTACTTTTTGGTTCTGTTATATTATTTACCGAGAAGCCTTGAAACAGAAGGTCAGCTTCAGGTGAAAATCTTATTTTACACTCGCACCTTACTGTCATGTATGTAATTCATCAACTGGCGCAGATGCTCTGAAAAGTAACAGTTTCCACCATAAAACTGGAAAAGGTGTTTCCCACCCACTGTTAGATCTCCCTCAAGGGTGCACTCTTTCTTTTCAGCCTCTGTGCCGCTCTCTTTCTTTGCCGCACACTTGGCTGTGATCTCACAGATGGCGTTCTTCTCCAAAGCAGCGTTCCTCACATGACGTGCCTCGACATGCTCCAGATTTGCAGCAGCGCTGAAGCATTGTAACCCTTTTTCCACATCATTAGCGCCTCTGCATTAACCTCCGATCGCTGGATTTATGACCATAAATGCAAACTTCTGGAAGCTTACATGTAAATGCAGCATTGCTATGCTAATTACTGTACATCTTTTGCTAGCTTTGTCTTTTTTCCTTCCTTGGATGACCTTGGTGAATTTTACTCAAAGTAAAAAAAAGGTGACTCATCTGCAGAAGCTTTCTCTTACATAGTGCTGGTGATGGAGGCCATTGCTGTTTTCTGGGCAGTGTTTGTCCCTGAAGCCTTTTACAAAGCCTTGGACAGGAGATTGTTTTAACGAACAGGGTCTCAAAAGTCGATCAACCTTTCCTTGACAGGTTCTTTCTACAAACGGTGTTTCTTAGATTACTTTTTTTTTTTTCAAAATAGGTGAGATTTTGGTGATCAGGAGAACACTTTGCAATACACCCTGAGGGAAGCTGGGAATTGAACCAACACCCTCTAATTGATGAAACATCCCCAGGGAGCTTGACCTGTCTCAATAATTATTAAATAGCTGAGCCTAATGTTGCATGTACTTATCGATTAAAGGACATGGGTTTTGGATTTAGTGCCATCTAGTGGAAAATCTGTAAATTGCTTAACAAAGCAGTCTTGAATCCCTGCCAAGCACAAATCTGTATGAGAAAATCCACTGACCTCACTAATTCAAAGATAAGTTATTAAACTCCAGGATTACTTTAGTTCAATAACTGTAAACTTATTTTTTTATTAGTGATACACTGCCTTATAGGAAAGCAATACGCATGGACTCATCTACAAGGTGGAGTGTAATAGTGAAGCAGTGTCACCGTTTAACTATTAGAACTGTTAACTTGATCCATCAAACTCAGCGGCTGCCATATTGGACTGAAATTAGATCTCTTGTGAACTTATTAAAGATATCTTAGACCAAGCTAGGGGGTATAGAGGCTGGAATCACTCAAAATGAGTTTGTTTTTAAGAAATAACCACTATTCTTAAAGTTATTTCTGAACTTTCTAGCCAAGGCATTGACCCTTTGGAGCAGGGGTTGGTAATTCCAGTTTCCAAGAGTCGGGATCCTGCAAGGTTTGGATTCATTCTTGGTCCAACACACCTGAATTAAATGGCTGAATTACCTTCTCACTATGTGTTCAACTGAGAGTCCTCTTTATCTTCTAATTACTTTATCCAATTCAATTCAATTCAATTCAGTTTATTTATATATCGCCAAATTCACAACACATGTCATCTCAAGGCACTTTACAGTTCACCAGATCATACAGTCAAATTCATACAAAGTTTTCTATCTAAGGAAAACCAGTTGATTGCATTGACTCAAATACAATCCCTCACACTAAGCATGCTTGTAGTGACAGTGGAGAGGAAAAACTCCCTTTTAACAGGAAGAAACCTCCAGCAGAACCAGGCTCAGTGTGAGCGGCCATCTGCTGAGGTCGACTGGGGTTCAAGGAGACAGAAGCAGAGATACAAGAAGCAGCTGTAAAATGCGTCCCCGTTCAGGGAACACACAGCCAGGCAGACGAGCTCCGAGCCAGCTTCCATGCCAGAGGACGAAGAGAGCACATCCACCCAGTCACGGTCAGAGAAAACAGGACCACACTGGAAAACAGGCCGATCTCCAACATCTATAAACAAGGGTGTTGATGGAAGCAGCACAGCTGATGTTTCTTTCCAGGATGACGTCACAGCCAAGCAGGAACAGACGAGGCAAAGCTACTCTGAGGAAAAGCAGAGAGAGCAGAACGTTAGAGATTTAACTAACAGATTCTGCAGAATAGGAGAACCGAGAGAGAATGAAGCAGAATGATGAAATGGGGGTCCCTATGTCCTCCAGAAGTCTAAGCCTATAGCAGCATAACTATAGATCCAGTTAAGGATCTAAAAAATTGTAGGATATCGGACCTCTGGAACTGGAATTGCCAACCCTGCTTTAGAGTCATAGCAAACATGGGAGAAGGTGACTCAATCTGAAAACAGCAAAATGGATGTCTGTCACCATTTTCCATGATAAGTGCTGTTAAAATAGTGCTAGAAGTAAGGAAGGGGGTATGAAAAGGAGGCTGTATGTTTCCTATTATAGTATCTTTATCCTAGGGAGCTTGTGACATTCCTGCCCTTTATATGACCGGAAAAATACACTATGCTTCATGTGTACACATGCAAACATGTGCATCTTTGTATGTTATGGGTGTTATAATGAAGAGCAACTTGGGTTTTTTAGTTTTTTTCTTTTTTTTTTATTGCTGTCCCATTTGACAAGTGTCATCCATAATGTCCTCAAGGCTGTCCACACAGCAGACCAGACTTCCTTTCCATGCCAGAGTAGAGTTCTTACTCCTGATGCCATGAAAGATGAAGAACAGAAGCTAAGGACAGGAGATAGAGGTTCCAACTTGCTGTTTTGGAATCGGGCTGTTGTCTTAACTTGATAATTGAAGCGACTAATCTGGTGTTGGGAATTTTTTTAGGGGATGTCCTTTTTTCACTAAATTTGATGGGTCAGTTTAAAGGATCAATAAGTTGGAAATTTACTGTAAAGTTAATCAAATACTTTCATTTGTAAACCACAAAGGAAGTAAAATTCCCTATAAATGGGTCCTCTCCATCAACAATGTCGTAGACTGTGTCCATTTGTCAACCCTAACCCCTGCAGAGAGCCTTATATAGGGGTCATGCCATTTTATATAAGAGTCCGAATGTCGTGTGTTTGAATGTTGAATGTTTAGTGAAGGGAAAAGTAGTGGACTCAAAATTTCCCACAATGCACCTTGAAAAGTGGTGGCCATTGTCCCTACCCGATCCGTCCGGGAAGCACGATCCGTCCTGCGCATGCGAACACATGAACATCCAGGTGTCCATAAATAATGTAATTATAGTACTAAATTTACTTATTTCTATCCTTTACTCACTAAAGAATGCTAATGCACAACAACAAAAAATGTTTTATGATTTTTGTGAGAGAATTTTTATGCTTTTTAGATTTTTTTCATTAAACTGCTTCTCTGACGTCATCAGACATGCTGAAAGCAGTCTTGCAAAATATGATGTTTATCTGCACTTTATTTGTTTCTTTCTTTAGATTACGCACTATAACATAAGGTTAAAACAAAACAAAAACATAACATAAAACTCAAAAAGACTAGATTTATGTTTAAATCCAAAACCACCGGAAACGGCGTAGGATCCCATTTCCGGAGGAGATCGGGTAGAGATGAGTGATAAAACAGAAAGGATTATAAGGCATTTATTTACCCAGAAAATACATTATTAACCTTTAACACATAATATTTTAGTACGTTCACTATTTTTGGGAAGAGAAAATTTCATTTAGGTATTTTTAACAAAATCAAGCTGATGGCGCATGCACAGAACAGATCGTGCTTCGAGGGATGGATCGGGTAGTGACAGTCATCCATGATCACTAGATAAGCAGATTAATACCAGAATGGTTTTGTAAGAGCCCTCCTTGCAAAGCATCATGGGATTCGTTTAGGTGGCAAGAAAAAACAAACATGGCGCAGACCAACGAGGAGAGAAAAGTAGCAGTGTATTCTCATTATCAGTTCGTATGAAATCGTACGAAAAGTTATGCACAGTAATTTCGTACGTTTTTGACGTTTTTTTTCGTCGCATTTCGTCTTATTTTTACGTCTTGTCTCGAGACAAGATATCCTTACGCATGCGCATCTTGCGCACCATTCAATAACATAGAATTTAACATACAATTAACCCTAACCCTAAGATACAAAACAGCAAGCAACCTAGTTAGAGACCTGAAGAAGTAATTATTGCACTGTTTTTCCCAGTTTTACGTCCGTCCGCGGATCTGCTTTTTTCGTCTGTCTGGCTGCGCATGCTCACTGATCTGTTTTTTCGAGGAAAAACGTCAAAAACGTACGAAATACTGTGCATAACTTTTTGTACGATTTCATACGAACTGATAATGAGAATATGTTGAAAGTAGTGATCATCGATCTGAACGGTCAGTTAACTAAGTTCACTATAAAGTCCAATATTTAGTCCCCGCTCTAAAAATATGTGTGCTGTTCCCATTTAAAACCGTAGGTGCCAATTATACACATTACTATTTCATTGTAAAACCATTGCTTTTACCATGAAATGTTTAAGGTTATATTAAATCATTAAAACATATCGAATTAATAAATTGTATATTTAATTATTCAATAGTGCATTCATTTTTTTAAATTAATTTACATAGATTGATTTCATTGTATATTTGTTTGTCTGATTTTGGCCCTTTTAGGCCCCCATACAGACAGCAAAGACAAATCTCAGTCAAACCAAGATGCCTTTCCTCGAATGAGATTTTACTGCAATAAATTTAATCAAAAGAACCCGATAAAGGATATTGATATTCACCTCTTGGTTTATTATGGCTCTTTGTAAACAGAGGAATATGAATTTTATACTTTTAATTCACTAATACACAGAAGCTGATAGTTTTCGCTTTATCTGCATTACATCTTAATTGAACTGGACTTTTCCATATGGGAATTTCTTTGGCTGAATAAAGTGGTATTGACCTCAGTATCTTTGGGTTTAAAAAAGGTGTGTTGTTTAGTCCCTTAGGGTGGCTGATAAATTAAAATGTTAATTTATTTGTGTTTTGTTGATGAGTCTGTTTTTTTAAGGAAACAGAAAACATAAACCATCTAACCAGGAATATTTTAGAAAGCTTTTTCCCGGCTTTTGAGCCCATATATCATGTCGCCCTATATGCTGTATGTGAATATTACTTCACGGTGGGTAATAAAAGTATGCTTTTATGTGTTTGAGTGCTGCTCTTCTCAAAGTAGCCGGGAAATACTTTTTTACTTTCACTGATATGGGGCATACGCTGTTGCTTTGCCATTCCTGTGAGCACATCTAATATTTCAAAAGTCAAAATGCAATAACTTTTCTGCCCGCCTTCACAGGGCGAGCGAGGCATAGAGGGGCCACGGGGGCCCAGAGGACAACCGGGCCCAGGAATCAAAGGAGACAAGGTAGAGTACAGAGAGGCCATAAATGAGGCACCTCGCTGAAAAGACTTTATAAAAGCAGAGAAAGCTAGAAAGCTAGAGCCCTGTTGTGAATAGGCCAAAAGCACCGATAAATGCACCAAGCATGGTGTTATATAGGAGGTTACAGTCTACAGGGTATGAATTGAGGTTAAAGCTTGAATGGTGTAGGAGGACTGCAGTTTAATGGTTTGGCTTGGTTGTATAAGGGAACATTAACACTCTACCGGTGCCTTTAGACATCAATGTAAAGGAGAGGTTTTTATTTATCAGAATGTGCTGCAGATCTTTGAAACCATCTGGATTATTTTGACTCACAGATGTATGAGTTTGAAATATTGAATATATTTACTAAAAAGAATTCCTTTTTAGCATTTATATGACCTGAAAACATTTTTGTTTTAAGCCATCCATAGATACATTTGGATAAACTACAATCAGATCTCATGTAGCTGATTGGCTAAGTCTGAATTTCATGTGTAGAGAAAAAATAAAGATAAGTACTCTCCAAAATAATAAATCTTAAAGAAATACTACTGAAACTGAAGTGTGATGCACTGTTAAATTATGAGCACATATTCCATGTTAAAACTTCATACCTCCTTCTTATAGGGGGACTTTGGCCCTCCAGGTTTTCCAGGCCCCCTTGGTCTCCCAGGTTTAGGGATCCAAGGAGAAAAGGTATGTAGCTGCTTTGTAAACTATTTTTGCCATTTTTTTCCCTAATGTTGATTATTAAGAGTTATTATGATTTTATTTGATTCTTTCTTTGACAATATGTACTTTTTCAACTGTTTTTGACTCACCTCTACTGATATGCAAAAGAGAGCCTTACATTTTCTGAAATAATTAAAACTAGGATTAATGCAGTGCTGAGAGAGAGGTATAAATTTAAGATTATTTGAGAATATTCAACATGTTTAATAAGATATTGATGAAGATTTTTGTTTGTTGAAAACAATGTAGGGAAATAAAACTGAGGGGGTGGAAATTATTGATTATTTCCCTTTCTTTTAGGGAACAGTGGGTCCACGGGGGCCACCAGGAATAAGAGGTCCACCAGGAGAGGGTTTTCCAGGACCCAAGGTTTGTCCTGACAAAATCTACCTAATTACGTTAAATTCACACGTTCATTTTGCATGGCCTGTGAGAGAGATTCCATGGCTTGAGGATCTTTGCATTATTTTAACAATTAACCAGTAAGTCTCTAAGTTCTAGCAATGAATGTAACGCTGTCTCACACAGGGGGACCAAGGGTTGCCTGGTGAAGTTGGAGCTCCAGGAGAAAGAGGGGCTGGTGAGCCTGGTGCAAAGGTGTGTTTTTTATTTTTTTATATGAATTTAAAAACCCACTTTAACAACAATAATTTCAGGTCCCTTTCACACTTGGTCAAGATCACTCTACATTATTCTGCATCATCTTTCAAACTTTGCTGGTTAATAGCAGATTTAGAAATTCCTGTTTTAGTATACAACACATTTTAACACTATTGCACTTTCCATATATCAAATATGCTTTTCTGCTCTGCTTATTACAGTGCTATCTGTGAGGACATTGATTTTTTTTCCCACCAGTCTGCTGAATTGGTATAAACTGATTTGGAATAAATAGAGTATTTATTCACCTTAAACATTAGTTTTGATCTTGCTCTGTTAGAGGAAATAACTGTAATTCCATCTGCCTTTTAGCAGAGTTTTGTGATGCTGCTAAAATGCAGGGAGAGAGCGAGTGAGAGATGAGGGGGGTAGTGACAGGTGTATATTTATAAGCTATGCTTTCCTATGTGTGGGAATCTGTGACTTATTTGCCAATATTATATATATTGAAGCAAATGTGTGAGATTCCTCTGATTACTCTGAAAGCCTGTTATACAGATGCTCTGAAACATAGTCGTTTCAATAGAACAATGGAAAATTGGAATTTAAACTCCATAAGCTAATTTTTATCACTTTGCTCATCTTTCTTCAGCCTAATCTCTTAAAATGCAAAATCCCTCCCTTTGACAGTATAAAAAAATACAACTTCTCTCCACCTTATATGTGCAATATGGAGGTGTATGCACTGTCAAGTGTTCCAGTTAAGCAGTGTATGTGGCACAAGGGGGTGCCAAAGTGATAAGTGAAAAAAGTCTCAACAAACACATCTAAACTTGTCTCACTATCTTTGCAGGGCCTTTCCATTGATTTCTGGTAATATCTACACCCTAACCTTAACCCATACCCTAAACCTAACCATTTCGGGTTCACACTTAACGCCTAACCTAACCTCAATTCATACCTTAGTCCAAAAAACAGCAATTCCCCTTATGGGGTTTAGGCATTGGGCCTTACAAGGAAAAGTCGGTCCCCACAATGGGCTATTTTTTCCAGAAAATGGGCCCCACAGTAGTTGGTAAGCAGCTGCCTTCTGTAACCATAAGTAACTTCTCTAATCTGAGTAAGATTACAATTTCTATCAAAATCTCTTGTCACGTCTCATGGTTATTTAATACATATATGTTATGAAGTGTTATTTAAAGAGTTTGTCCCGAGTTATCTCTTTTCAGGAAAAAAGAACCGGAGAGAGAAAGCTTCAAGGTGTAAACACAGAGCTTTCCTTTAACATAATGATTTATAATGAAGAACAATGTAGGAGATGCTCCAAGATTATCACCATCTACATTTTAAATGATTTCTGATATTATAGTCTAGTCATTGTGTTGTGTGAATCAGGCCTGAGCTTAATAAGCTGGTAAAGTCTGCAGTCGATACTTTAACTTTTCTGCAGGGTGAGCCAGGATCAGCAGGACTGTCAGGTTTGCCTGGGCTTCCTGGAGAGGATGGCGCTCCAGGACAAAAGGTAGCAAAAGGAAGACTTTTCTGTATATTTCATAACACCTAATGAAAGGGAAGTTTGTTGAATGACAGAGTTTTGGCTTCAGGGCGAGCCGGGAGCTGTCGGTCTGCGAGGTCCAGAAGGTGCACCTGGGATTGGCACTCAGGGGGAAAAGGTACTTAATTTTCTATTCATTGCTTTTTATCTCTTCCCATGTGATGTGATTTCCTGTTTAGAAGGGGTGACTTTATCTGGCTTTATATTTGCTATATGAAATAAAAAATCAACACATTTCCCTTTGTCCAATGGGTTCTTCTGACTACTTTTATGGCCACTTCTTTCTAAATCCTTTCTGTGACCTTTGTATTAATGTATAAATACACAACCTTTTATTAAAGTTGTTATAGTAAACAGTCTTTGTTGTTCTGTATCTACATGATTAAATTAAGAGTTAGTCTTATGCAACGTTCAAACCTAACGCGATTGAAGCAGCAGAAGCAGCTGGTTTACATTTACGGTTGATGCGCATCAAGGCACATTAAAAGGTCCTGCAGTGCGTCTAGAGCGGCAGGAGCAACGCATCTTTACGCATCTGAGCAGCTAAGGGGCGGGACACACTTCACAAGCAACTTTTGCTGCTCGACGCACCACGTCAACCAATCAGAGAAGCTGATCTGGGAGCTGTCAGGGAGACGGACACAGAACGGCTGATTCAGATCTCTACGATCACTCCTCTAAAACAGTTTATCAATGCATAAATGAACATGAAATGTCAAAACCTGTCGGCAAAATATGTTTGCTGTTATTATTCTGGTGCCTCCAGTTGGTACCACATACATGAAAATGCTAATACCTACTTCCAGCTGCCACGAACCGTAGGGGAAACCCCCCATCTGCTGCTGGGGATTCTCACTGACAGCACACCGCCAGTATAGGGGTCTGAATAATGTTTTAAGGCAGGATCGTAATTTTGATGAACTGACTGCACAGACAGTGTTTACAGGTTGACTTTCTCATTACAAAATATATGAAAACTAGTCTTTACCTATTTATCAAATCTATATTATTTAGCGGTCGATCTACATTCCTACCCTCATCTATGGTCATGAACTCTGGGTCATGACCGAAAGAACGAGATCGCGGATACAAGTGGCCGAAATGGGTTTCCTCCGTAGGGTGGCTGGGCTCTCCCTTAGAGATAGGGTGAGAAGCTCGGTAATCCGGGAGGGACTCAGAGTAGAGCCGCTGCTCCTCAACGTCGAGAGGAGCCAGTTGAGGTGGCTCGGGCATCTGGTTAGGATGCCTCCTGGACGCCTCCCTGGTGAGGTGTTCCGGGCACGTCCCACCGGGAGGAGGCCCTGGGGAAGACCCAGGACACGCTGGAGAGACTATGTTTCTTGGCTGGCCTGGGAACACCTTGGGGTTCCTCCTGAGGGGCTAGAAGAAGTGCTGGGGAGAGGGAAGTCTGGGCCTCCCTTCTTAGGCGGCTTCCCCTGCGACCCGACCCCGGATAAGCGGAGGAAGATGGATGGATGGATGGCTGGACCTATTTATCACAGCAAATATAGCAAATCGACCCTCTGCCATTGAACAGACAAGCAGTACATGCATCAGTCGCATCTGGACACACTTTACTGGATGCACTTCAAAGATGCTCCTGAGGCGTGTCTGTCCTTAATGTATCGAAGCATCAATAATGAAGCCGCAGGCGTGTTTTTGCTGCTCAAATCGTGTTTGGTGTGAACGTAGCAGCTGTCACATAGATAACATATCTCCAACCCTGCCTATCAGGGTGACCAAGGCCAAAGGGGAATAAGAGGACTGACAGGCCCACCTGGCATTGCTGGACCCTCGGGGCCAAAGGTAAAAGTCCCTGAATGCATTATTGGGTAAAACCATGAACAGCCTATTATTGAATTAATGCATGATGATAATGGTTTAATTTTTAACCAGGGAGAACCCGGGACCCAGGGAAGGCCTGGTTCCGCTGGCCCACCAGGACGTTTCATTACTGGACCTAAGGTATGCACTCTCAGTTCTCACAGTGAAAAAAAAAACACACTTGCTTCCTGCATGTTTTCAAGTTTGTTTTCAGGTGATAATTATTTCTCACTTAATTTTCAGTGAAAGCAATTATCACTTTTTTTCAACAAAGACATCATTTTAGCTCAGCTGGGATCAAAATATTTTATTCACTCAAGATAAATTCCTGTTTCTGCAACATGCATATAGGGAAAGAACTTTGTACCATAATAAAAAGCAAGAAAGCGAAGGTAAAGTTCATGGTTAGCAAAAGACTAACACGGATATTGTGAAAAGAAGTTAATTAAATGCTAAAATGGGTTAGCCATGGCAGAAGGAAATTGGTCCATTGCATTCATGATACTGGTTATTATACAGTAAATCTGCACATTTAACTGCTGCTTCAAGTGCATTGAAAATATTCTTCTGGCTATTAGCTCCAAAAACCTTGTATCTCATTGCTAATCTTTAAAATGAGTATTTGAATGAACCTGAGTTCATAATGGTGGGGAAAAAAGTATTTTATCCTTTAAGGTTTTCACATTCTCTTTCTTATTCTCACTGAATTTATGGGATGAGAAGAAAATTGAATTTGTTTTTTGGGAGTTTTATTAAATGGGTTTAAGAATTGTTAAGGTAGGTTAGGTCTTTAGTCCAGAGTGAATCAATAAGGACACTGAAGTTTAATTTTGTTTTTACCTACATGCACTCAGCACCTCTCAGAGATAATCTTACGGTAAGACTGTTTTTCTAGAGGTGTAAAATTGTAAAAGTTAAACCTTTAATTATCAAACAATCTTCATCTCATATTTGTAAAAGTACATTGAATCATTTATGAAATTTATGACATTTCGATACATAAATTTTTTCGACAGGGAATGAGTAGCTTAGCAGTGAAAATGAACATTTCCAATGTATAAAGTGCAGTAGTGATCAAAATGTGAAAACAGTGTAGGAGAGACGGCTCAAACAGGCATGATGTGGAAGGTTTAGAGCAGTGCAAGAAATAAATAAATAGATATGGTGCAAAATGCAGTAGAAACACTGAGTTGAATTCAATTTAAATGGATTTGAAGATTTGCCATGAAGTGCAAGGATGATGTTTACAGTGTAATGCAGAGTCTCGATTTCTGACTTGATTAGAGTTTTAAAGTGCTAGTATTTATTTTTCCATTTCTCTGATTTCATTTAATGTAAATTAATTCTACCAGTGATATTAGTATGAAGGAATAATTAATCACTGACACTGGAAGGAGAAACGCAGGTATGTGACCACAGTCATCTGACGGGAGATGATTATCTGGGTGAGTCACTTACCTGGTTTAACAGCCGATGGACTGCCAAACGAGAGCGCCCAGAATGTCCACGATGCAGCAACCTCAATGAGCAAGCAGGAGTCTGATCCAGGTCCGATCATACAGGAACAGTTCTGGAATCCAGGAGTCCACAGCCTGGTCAGGGGTTCCGATTAGCACAGGAACAGACAGATCCAGGGTTACAGGAACCAACAGTGCGTGAAGGGAGATTCAGAGTTCCATGCAGCGTGCAACCAGCTCAGATAGAAATGCACAGATGTAGACAGACAGGCTTAGTTGTTGAGGGACAGAGACAAGACATGGTGACAGGAAAACTGCAGGAACTTTAAACTGTACTCTACCTAGGGGCCAGGACACGATCAGGAGACAAGACAAACACCAAGACCCTCTCAACCCACTGGCCTCCAGGGACGAGGACATGAACCTTGGACTAAAACTAACAGAACAAACATACATCAAACAATGATCTGGCCCTGATAGCTGGGATGAGCCGAATATAAAGGAACAGACACAGGTGGATAAGATGAGGAATGATTGAGAACCGGGCAGAGTTAGGCAGGTGAAATAAGTAAACAATTAAGGACAGCTATCAGGGCAGATCATGACGCCTTTCCTGGTTTTAGGCCCATTCCTCTTTACAGGGCTTCCTGTTTTGTAGCCCAGCTTGCTTCATATATTTATATTATCTGTCTATTTTGTAGCCCAAGCTTTAACAGTCTAACAGCCTGAGATGATGCAGTAGTATTTCCACCTTTGCTTATGATGCCATCAATGTGAAGGGCATCGCTCCCTCTTGACCATGATACTGGCACCTTCATAGTTCAAGGTTAGCATGCTTCTTTAGGTTGCTAAGTGTATTTCTTTTCCTCTGAATATAACAATCGCTATTCAGTTTTAGTTTAATCAGAGACATGTGGTTCCTCCTCTGGTGTAGCCTATTGGCTGTTTGATTTTGTTCTCCCCATGATGACATGCAAGGAAGCAATGCGCTTAAGTTGTTGCCAAAAAAAACAAAAACACCCAAGGACCTTTAAGTCACATTATGTGAATTAATCCTGCACAGATCTTGTAAAGCTCTGATATCATAATCCAGGTTTTCTATATTGTTTAGCAACATGAAAATGTGTGTTAACCCATCAAATTAAGGAAAATTGACATTATTCAGCCGTTTAGCAAATAAAAAGCACATTTTATATCCTATCTGATCTAAAGATGGAGACATTTAGAAGTGAGAAAAAAAAAACATTGAGATTAATTTGACATGTGTATTGTCTATTAAGTACGTTAGTAAATCTGCTGAACTGTAATCCCGGATTGATGGTTCTTGTTCTAGTTTACCTGGAGTACTCTAAGATGACCACAAGGGAGAGCTAATGAGGTTCTGTGACCATGACCATTGCTGAGTGTTCCTTGAAATAATTAGTTAACATTAAGTTAAGTTAGATAACGTGATAAGTAATCTTAATGTGCTTTAAGAACATAAAATAATTACTTTTTGTTACGTTTATATTCCTCCATATTTGGTTCACTTCCCCTCTCATCCAGCCTGTGGTTAGGAATGTGGGAGACAGGAATATTTTAATTGCAGAGAAGCTAATGAGATAGGTGCGCCTGGCTGAGCAGTTTTGAAATGTCCTAATGTCATAGTTAATTAGTTCAAGTTGGTGAAATCAGTAGCTGGAAATAGGAGGTTTCTTAACAATATTCATGGAAAAATTTATAAAATTGCCAATATTACAGATTTTAAGAGGCTTTAATTTTGAAATTCAACATCAGACTTTGATGAAATCTGGTGAGAAGCATCTGGGAAGTCCTACTGTCACCCTGAAGTGGAATCAGCAACTGGAAACAGGAAGTTTCTTAGCAATGTTCATGAATTGCTTTAATTTTGAAATTGCGCATCAGACCTTGATGACCTCTGGTGAGAAGCATCTAGGGGTCTCCTACTGTCAAAGAAAATCAGTAACTGGAAATAAAGTTTTGGTTTATCATAACTGAAACTTAGGTAAAATAAATAGGCTTTCTTAAATTAAGTGCATAAATTAACTGTGTAAAGCGGTACCTACATAAAAAAACAAAACATTAAAATATTTCTCATATATCCATATTCACAAGAGCACATACAAAATTATTTGTTAGAGCACAGAGGTGTAAATTATATCTTATTGAAGTTAATAAATGTTAACTTGTCAGTTTTATTTTGAAAGGTCTAAACAAGTGTTTCTACCATATTTCATAGTATATGGGTGACCAATAAAAAGCCAATCCTCATTGGCTTTTTACTTTTGCTTGACTTTAATCATATAACAGATGTACTGAGAGAATGTATTAAAGTTAAAATAAAGGTAAATAAAGTCAAATCAATACAAACTGGACCATAACAAATGCAAAAATATTTTTATAATGTGAGGAAAAACTGTTTTAGAGTGACTGACATACAACAAACATTTATAAAATGTGTGGCTTGACTGAACATTTTTTCCTTTTTTGAGTAGAACTGCTTATATTTCCTGCTAAAACAATGACGGGTATTTTGGTTGAGTTTAGTTTTTTACTCAGTCTTATAGCGTGATCCGGACCCTGACCTCTAGTTAAAACAGCTAAACGTGTAGATGTGTGTGTGTGTGTTACTTAAATCAGAAACACTGATACTATGAAACCTTATTGTAGGGTGATCCTGGTCCAAGTGGTCCTCCTGGTCCAATCGGGGAGACTGGATATGGACTTCCTGGCCCGAAGGTAACAGAAAAATTTCCTCGTGCTAAAATCCAATCATGATACTTTTACTGGTATGGGGAAAGTTCTAATGAACTGAGTTGAACTTTAAACAAACAAGCCCTCAGATGTCCTGACCAAACCGTTTTCTTCGGAAAATCAATTACCAGCTTGCACTTATGGGAGGCAGACTGGGCTGCACATGTTTGCACCGTGCAGAGCTTCCCTTGGCAAGAGCTGAGAGCGTATCATAATGAGGAAATTAAAGAAAACTTCACATCTTGTTTTTCTTACCCTTGTTCCAAATGTTTGGCTTTTCTTAACATTGTTTGCATAAAATCTTTTTAACTTTATACTTCTTGTTCTGTTATAGGGGGATAGAGGTGATCCAGGCCCTGCAGGTCCATTTGGTCCTAAAGGAGATGGCTTTCCCGGTCCCATGGTAAAAAATATCAATTTGATTCTTTACATAAGCACCATTTATCACATATTACACTCGTTTCTTCATAATCTGTCTCGTATTTTCCAGTTTATGTTCATCGGTTCCATCTGTCCATCCATCTGTTAGACATTTATTACCCAAAAGTAGCAGAAGAAGTCCTGTTTATTCCTGCAGCTAACAGAGACAAAAAAAGGACTAGATTTACAGGCTTACAGGAGCAGATTCTTATTTTGAAAAACATTTTCCCAAATGGATAAATGAAATTTAGGGACGTGAGGATGTTGCAATTGACTAGAAGATGATAATTATGTTGAGAAAAATAAAACTAGCGAGTACGCCTAGAGATGCTGCATAATCCTCTATTGAATGATGGTTTGTGTTGTTTAGGGTCCTCCTGGCCTGCCTGGGCTTCCTGGAGAACCCGGGTCGGAGGGTGTGGGCATCCCAGGACCAAAGGTGAGAACACGTCTGAACTAGATGGACATTAAATAAGAGAGAAACCAAGATTCTGATGTTGTTGGTGACCCCTAAAGGCTAGACACAAAATTACATTCAAGTGAACTTTTTTTTTTACACGATGTATGAAGAAAAAAAAGCTCTTTTCTTCAACATTAGGCTGCAAACAGTCCCAATACATGACAGCAAGAGCATAGTGATGTTATTTCAACCTGGAGAGACTTGCAGATAAAAGTCGAAATTAGAGAATATTCAATTTATTAATATATGTAACACAATCATATTCCTCGAGATATTTCTATCTAAGGAAAACCAGCTGATTGTGAGGACTCATTGACTCTCTACAATCCCTTGCACTGAGCATGCATGTAGTGAAGGTGGAGAGGAAAACTCAGTTTTAACAGGAACAAACCTTCAGTAAAACCATGCTTAGTATGAGCAGCCATACAGAGGCAGATAAAGACGAACAAAATAAGTTATTTGGTGCTCGGGCCCCGGCAGAAGACTTTGATGCTGTAAATCGACATATGCTTAGATGAGTAACCAAGAAAATGATTAGAGTTGTAGTCTTCCCTGGGTCCGGGACACTTAAGCCTAATTTCTTCCTTCTATCACTGGAGTTAGTACAGTATATGATCCTCACCAGATTAGGCCATGTTCGTTTGAGGAAGTTCCTCTTGAACGATGTTTGATCCTTTCTCTCGGTTCATTGCGATAAACTTGACCAGAACTGGTCAATATTTCAAATCCTTTTGATAAGAAGCAACCCTGACATTAAAGTTCTCCCCTTTTCCTTTTGTACAAATGAATTACCTGAAAGATCATAGAGCATAATTCACCTCAGAACCAGTCCTTTGCAAGATCTGCTCTGGTGGTAGAATGATTACCTACACATTAGAAAGATTTGGTTCATTCTGAATCTCAGGTTCAGTTGTAGCTGGACTTTAAACAGTTCAGACACCAATTTAAGTTGAATTTGGCTTAATTTATTCTTCAGCAAACCAAACTATAGTAATGGGCTTGCTTGAATGAATGACATTATCAATATAATGATCCAAACTGCAAAAGCACAAATTATCAATGAATAAAAAACAGCCTTCACCTAAAGATCCAGTTTATGTTTCAATTCAGCTCATTGTAAAGAAAAACCCTGGTTCAAATGAAAAAAAAACATGAATATATCATCGCTCTGATTTTGTGAATGCTGTTCCATTTTTAAATATGCTTTATAAAAAGGTTAAATGGGTTCATACAAGTCCCATTATATCCTAAATAAAATGACCTCTAAAGCTGCTAAGCTGCTGGCAACAGAATGTTATGATTTTGATTACGTCTAATTCTAAGATTAAATATTTTTACTGAGCGCTTGAATTGGTTTTCTCAGTAAATGTACTGTATGTAGTTTTTTTTTTTTTTACTGACCATCTTGTTTGTTCTGCAACTTTTCAGGGGGATGTTGGATTCAGAGGGTTGCCTGGTTTACCTGGACCTCCAGGTGAAGGCGTCCAAGGTCCTCCGGTAAATTTAAAAAGCCTTTTCAATGTTTAGAGATTTTCATTTAAACTTCTTTTTAATTGAAAGCACAATGTGAACCTAAATCCTGCAAACCTGAATTGAAAGCAGGATTTGAAGATTTCTTTTGGATGTCTTTTTTCCACAAGCATTTATAAAACTTTTTCTATATTCTGTCAAACCTCTTACCATGAACTTCAATATAATTGATTGGGTTGAATCACAAAAAGGGAAAATCATATGATTAAAACATTTGCAAAACAAATCTAAAACAGGCTGGAGTAAAATTTTATTGATTTATGGGCATTGCTGACATCCAGAGAACCTCTTTATACAGTAACTCTAATCGTAGTTATGCATTTCACAAATCAAGCATTTAGCCATGAAGAAGCCCTCCTATACAGAAATATTAGAGACGAACCCCAAAAGATCTGAAGCGCTGAAAGCTTTAAGACCTTCTGGGGATTTTAGTTCTACAAACCAGCAGAGTTCAGTGATGCACATTTCAGATTCTGGTTAGGTAAAAAAATAAAAAATAACAGAAAACTTTCCCCAATTCCCTAAACCAGCTATGCTTTTTGTTGGTTGTGAAACTTGTCAAAACTTGTTAATTTGGAGCAAAATTCAGATAGATGCTCAGATGAAGCGTAGAGAGATTAATCTATTTAATAAACGACGGGCAAAGAAACAGAACACTGGCGTGTTATCAGGGGAATACAAATTAGTAAACACAGGTGAAGGAAATCTACTGATTAGCTGAGGACTTTGAATGAGAAAGAAATGTTTAAAGGGGGGGGGCACATGAGAAACTAAGAGAACCTGTCTAATCTATTCAATTATAAAGAAACGTCATACTAAAAGCACTAAAAAATATAAAAGAGAAACTAGATAACACCTGGCAAAATGTAAGAAAAGAAAATAACTACAAAAATAAGAGACATTGAAAGCCATTATGAAAAAAATCAGAACCTAAATCTTAACTTTTAGATCATGACAGAAATCTTTAAATAAAAAAATATGATTCTGACCTTGATGTTTTATACAATGATCAAAAAGAATTGAACATTTTTTAATCAGAGTATAATACCGAGTTAGTCAAACCCCTGGAATTATAATCTGGGCCATTTAATAGCAGATGTCAACAATGGTTGGTGAGGTTGCTTGAGGGCCCAAATGCAGAGGCAGAGGTGAGTTTTTGTAGTTTTAATGGAATTACTCAGTGCTCACAGGCAACTGAAGCAAGAATCCAAAAATCCAACATAACAAAATGTGGAAAAAAACAGAAACTTGGAGACATCAGGGAAAACAAACATGAGTAGCAAGGAATAGACGTGGGAAAAATGAGGAACCAGCACTGAGGAACTACACAGGGAGAGTATTTATGGCTGAATGAACAAAGAAAGGACTAATAAGCTGATTGGGAGCAGGTGTGAACAGAGGCTTCTAGAAAGGAGCTAGGGAAAAGGAGAACAACACAAGAGGGCAACAGAGGACATAAAAAAAAACCTAAGAACTCAAATACATCCAGAAAGCACAACAAAATAGGAATTAAACCAATAAAACTAGAAAACATGGAGCAAAGTAAAACTGAATACTAAAAGAAAACTTAACAGAACCCAGACTGTGACAGATAAGGCTTACAGGTGCTGGTCATAAAATTAGAATATCATGAAAAAGTAGATTGATTTCAGTAATTCCATTTAAAAAGTGAAACTTGTATATTATATTCATACATTACATACAAACTCATATATTTCAGATGTTTATTTTGTTTAATTTTGATGATTACAAATGACAACAAATGAAAATCTCAAATTCATCATATCAGAAAATTAGAATATTGTGAAAAGGTTCAAAATTGATGGCCCCTGGTGCCACACTCTAATCAGCTAATTAACTCAAACCACCTGCAAAAGCCTTTAAATGGTCTTTCAGTCTAGTTCTATAGGCTACACAATCATGGGGAAGACTGCTGACTTGACAGTTGTCCAAAAGACGACCATCGACACCTTGCACAAGGAGGGCAAGACACAAAAGGTCATCGCTAAAGAGGCTGGCTGTTCACAGAGCTCAGTGTCCAAGCACATTAATAGAGAGGCGAAGGGAAGGAAAAGATGTGGTCGAAAAAAGTGTACAAGCAAGAGAGATAACCGCACCCTGGAGAGGATTGTGAAACAAAACCCATTCAAAAATGTGGGGGAGATTCACAAAGAGTGGACTGCAGCTGGAGTGAGTGCTTCAAGAACCACCACACACAGACGTATGAAAGACATGGGTTTCTGCTGTCGCATTCCTTGTGTCAAGCCACTCTTGAACCACAGACAGCGTCAGAAGCGTCTTGCCTGGGCTAAAGAGAAACAGGACTGGACTGCTGGTGAGTGGCCCAAAGTCATGTTCTCTGATGAAAGTAAATTTTGCATTTCCTTTGGAAATCAAGGTCCCAGAGTCTGGAGGAAAAGAAGAGAGGCACTTCATCCACGTTGCTTGAAGTCCAGTGTAAAGTTTCCACAGTCAGTGATGGTTTGGGGTGCCATGTCATCTGCTGGTGTTGGTCCATTGTGTTTTCTGAGGTCCAGGGTCAACGCAGCCACATACCAGGAAGTTTTAGAGCACTTCATGCTTCCTGCAGCTGACCAACTTTTTGGAGATGCAGATTTCATTTTCCAACAGGACTTGGCACCTGCACACAGTGCCAAAGCTACCAGTACCTGGTTGAAGGACCATGGTATCCCTGTTCTTAATTGGCCAGCAAACTCTCCTGACCTTAACCCCATAGAAAATCTATGGGGTATTGTGAAGAAGAAGATGCAATACACCAGACCCAACAATTCAGAAGAGCTAAAAGCCACTATTAGAGCAACCTGGGCTATCATAACACCTGAGCAGTGCCACAGACTGATCGACTCCATGCCACGCCGCATTGCTGCAGTAATACAGGCCAAAGGAGGCCCAACTAAATACTGAGTGCTGTACATGCTCATACTTTTCATGTTCATACTTTTCAGTTGGCCAACATTTCTATAAATCCTTTGTTTTTATTGGTCTTCAGTAATATTCTAATTTTCTGATATGATGAATTTGAGATTTTCATTTGTTGTCATTTGTAATCATCAAAATTAAACAAAATAAACATCTGAAATATATGAGTTTGTATGTAATGTATGAATATAATATACAAGTTTCACTTTTTAAATGGAATTACTGAAATCAATCTACTTTTTCATGATATTCTAATTTTATGACCAGCACCTGTAAATCAGCATCAGCTTTTCTTTAGGTGGTAATGAAATAAAAAACAGGTGAACTAACGGGGCAACAATAAGACAAGCCCTGAAACAGAAATGGTTCTGCAGGTGGAGGCCAGACCCAAAGGAGGTTCCACAGGGAATCCAACTCCATCATGATGACACTTCTATACATGCCATTGTCAGAAAGTTGGCTTGGTCTTCCAGGAATGTCTGAAGAGCATCAAGTAGATTCTGGAGACAGGGCTGTTGGACGTTTGTCTTTCATCAGCAGGACTGTTTCCTTAAACGTGTCCGAATAAGAATAATAACATATTGCAGCATCCATGAAATGAGTTGGCTTTCTGATGGATAACAAATCTGTAAAGATCTGTTTTTGGTGAACTAAGTAACTTCAAGAATATGGTATAAAGGGTAGACCTGGGTAGTGCCCACTAACAGGTTAGCCTCTTTAAGTTTGGTCAGTTACCCAAATTAAGCTACACGACTTGTCAACAAGAACTGTCCAATTTCTGCAAGTAGAATAACTGTTGTTTTCTTTGTCTAAAATCTCCAAAAAAGTAATTTTTGGTAAAACACTTAGACCAGCTTATGCCTGACATATGAAAGATCTGGCAACGCTGGCATATGTTGGATAACTTATGGGTATGTTTTATTTTGTAGTTATGAGCACACTGAAGCACTCTGGCACACGTCAATATACAGCAAGTACTTATGCCAGCATATGCCATACGTGGGACATAGAGCTGGACGTACACTGTACGATTTTTTTTTTTGCCCTTTTTGAGATTTTTCCAGTCGTGCGAGAATTTTTCAATCCTGATGACTTTCAGCCTGATCATGCGGTGTGCATCGTGTAGTATACAGGGGGTAACGACAGGCGATCTCACGAACACCTCCTGATAAGGAATCATGAGGTCGGGGATCGCTCAGTGGGCATGCGCAAACAAGGATTCTTCATTCTTCCTTTCAGAAGGAAACACAAAAGCATGGCGGGGAGTGCGAGTGAAATTGAATTCTTTATGTAAAATTGACAGACCATAGTACCCATGTTTGCTCAGGCATGTATTTGTCTAAATACATCGTTGCCTTTTCTTTTTAGGGCTTTCAGCACACAAAATTGCAAAAATTGCCAAGGCAGTGCGTTTCACTCTAGTGTGCTTTATATTTCTCTTCTTTGGCTTCCGGATAGAAGTGTCCAAGTAGCGCCATCTTACTGTCGAGTTGATTCCAACTTGGTTTTTAGACATACAGTGTGATCAGGTAGATCGCATCAAAGCGTCGGGCCACACAGTGTGAGCATCGTGTGCCACTTGGAAACTGTATTGCGCCCGATTCATAAGAATTCGAATCGTTTCCTGGGTCTCAAATTATCATTACCTATTTTACATTTCCTTCAGCGACCTAAAGTAGCCAAAAGTAGAAAACCGTCATTCTCAGTCTTGATGGCAAGTATGCTGCCTGCATCGTGATCTGTGAACTTTTAAACCCTGCGGTTTCATTGTACAGTGTGAGTTGTAGCTGCATGCAACGATTACAAATATTGCACATTGTATGCCCGGCTTAAGTGACAGGTAAGTTATCTGATTGTTGACATACTTTAAGTGTAAGTTACTCATAAGTCGTGGTGTCTAGCTTATCCAAAACCTATGAGTAACTTAAGCTTAACTTATCAAGAACTTCTCTTCAATGCATATCAACATATTTGACATGTTCCAGACGACCTCTGAACGTGTTTCTAACTTACAGCTACTGTTTAATGGCGTATTGGCAGCATTTTGGTAGGTAACGTGGCTCACAGGAGGAAACTGTCTGTTCTCCTCCAGACTTCATCCCCATCATAGGGTGAGCGTGCAGGTGAGTGTGATGGATCCTCCCTGCGTTCACGCCCACAATCAACAAACTTCCTAGCAGACATGATACTGAGTCTGCTGTGACTGCAAGCCCTCATATATTTTTTGTCGGGAGATAAACGGCAGCTAGGTAATTACCACGATTAAAGAAAGCTTTTTATGCAGGCTAGGCGCATTGCTGCCCCCCTCAGGACACTGGCTTGTGACATTTCATGGGCATTACACTGCCGTCTGTTATGCATAAGTTAGGCTGACGTTGGACATAAGTTCTGGACTCATTATAATTACGCTATGTATACACCCAAAATTGAAAAAATACATAGGAAGTTCAGCATATGCCAGCGTTTTAGAAGATTCTGGGACATCAGGCATACACTGGCTAAATCGGAAAAGGTGTGAAAGGGGCTTAAGATGCAGAACGCAGTACTTGCCTTCAAGACTGAGAATGACTGTTTTCTACTTTTGGCTACTTTAGGTCGCTAAAGGAAATGTAAAATAGTTGATGATAAGTTAAGACCCCTGAAAAGATTAGAATTCTTATGAAATGGACACAATACAGTTTGTCCGAGTGGTATTCCCGTGTTGTGACGTCATCAGTTCCCCGAGCAGGTTTGGTACCTACAGCGTCAGCTTCAGCACTAGTGTCCTGTTGTTTTTGCAGGTTCATTCAGAGCTCATGTTGTGCTACCTGCAACATTCTTTAACATGAATTTCAACATATCTATGGATCAAAGCGTAGACATGCACAGGATGAACGATGGAAGACTTGCAGACTCAATTAGCTGTCATAATGAAAGCCTCAGATGTTTTGCTGCCGCAGTGAGTCTTGGACTCATCCTGGTCATTCCTCCTGTGCCAAAAGTAAGTAGGCTGTTCCTGGAAGATGAGGGAATTGACTCATCTCCATACTCCTTTAATGCAAATCCAATAATAGATCTGTGGGATGTCATGTTTTGGTGCTTAAACCTCCGACTGACCGGGAACAAAGGAATACTCTGGTCAGGATGTGGGAGGAGATACAGCAGGACAACATCATGCATATTACGCATGCATGCATCTTAGGTTTCAAAAGAATTTATATTTACACTGCAAAAAATCTAAATCTAGATACGTTATTTTTATCTTAAAATAAGTGCATTTGTTTTTGAATTGAGGAGGTAAAAGAGACATTTTGCCAATGGAACAAGACAATTTACACTTAAAATAAGAAAACACAATTGCATTGTCTTATTTCAAGTGCATTTTATCCAATTATCTTATTTTAAGTGTAAAATTACTCATTCCATTGGCAAACCATCTCATTTACCTATTCAAATTAAGGGTGAATACACTTAATTTAAGAAATTTTTACTTATTTCTATATCGTTTTTGCAGTGTATTGCTCAAGTAGAAGTATAAATCTTGCTGTTTGAAAATAATTATGAGTCTTAAATTAAGCTTTTTACTCAGTAAAAGTGAAAAAGTACAATTTTTAAAACTACTTGAAGTATAAAAGTAAAAGTAATGCAGGATAAAATGTTAAGGAGAGAAGTTTTACTGCACTAGACGATTAAAGGAGCATTTTTCTACAATTCTGGATGATAAATTCCTTAGACTTAATTTTCTTATTTTCATAACTAATGGTGCTGTTAAATTTAGCTTTGCATCATTTTGAAAAATGATTTATTTTAGTATGTGGTGAACAACAAGTTGGTGCAGCACAGAGTTCAACCACAACGAAATGAATTGTGTAGATAAAACAAATTGTTTTGATGGTTTTAATTTTTTTTAAATACCAACAGGCCATCACACGAATGTGTTTATATGATCAAATAATACATTTTTAAAATGTAAGGAGTAGAAAGTAAATATTGGCAAAAAAAAGAGTAAGGAATAGAAGTAAAAAGTTGTCCAGTAAAGTATAGATAGCCAAAATGTTTTGTAAATTGGACCAATGTGCCTCATTTTCGAAGTTTCCCTTCTTCTTTAACTCTGAACTCCTGTGAGATCAGTAAAGATCTCCATCACTTTGATTTCTTTTTTTCCAACTGAGATCTAATGTGTTATTCAAGTGCTCCTTTGATTTTTGTTGAACAGTGCATTATCACCCCTACAGCACTCTGAACAGTGTGAATCTCTTCAGACAGATGTTCTGAGGAACACTTGTCCTAACAAGCATTGATTAAACAACCTCCAGCACCCTGTATGTCCTCACAGACCCCGTCCTTGTTCCCTGTGGGCTCCAGACCAGTGTCTCTGGAGGTCGGAGCGCTTCCACAGTCATTTGCACTAAACAAGATTTAATTAGGAGCTCAGATGAAGTCCCAGACAGCAGAACAAAGTGAGGAAACACATCTCTTTGACAGATGTCAGGCCGTGTTCAAGCCGTGTTAACGATGATAGACATGACTCATGTTAGAGAAGACAGTTTTTATGTCTGGATAACTTTAAACAGCCCTCTATGACATTTAGCTCCACTTTAAGATGTGCTTACAAAGGTTAATTAGGTTGGCATTTAACATAAAACTTCCCTAAAATGTTCTTAAAGTATCACTATAGTTAGCTTTGGGCAGATGAGACAAAAGTGGTACTTTTTGAAAGGAAATAGTTGAGCATCACTTTATTTTACCGGGACTGATTGGGATTCTTTTTGCAGGGAAACCCTGGGAGGCCAGGTCCACCGGGCCAAATGGGACCACAGGGACTAGGAGTTCAAGGCCCCAAGGTAGGCTGTGGTTTAATGCACTCAAGAAGTAAAAATATATTCAAATATATTCACGCAATTTATCTCTTAGTGAATGTTTTAACTCTTTGTTTAGGGTGAACAGGGCGCCCAGGGTGTGACAGGACCAAGGGGTTTACCTGGAGAGGGCTTTCCAGGAGAAAAAGTCAGTCATTAGGTCCTTCTGAACGTTTCCCTCATTATTCTCACAAGTAAAATGTTGATTGCTGCTGTTTTGATGTTTTTTGTGCATCAGGGTGACAGAGGCTCATCTGGAGAAAGAGGACTAAAAGGATTTAAGGGAGAATTTGGGGATCCGGGAATGCCGGGACAGCCTGTGAGTGATAAGAAATTTGATTTAAGGGGTTTCCCAGGTCAGGATAGACGTGGAGAATGGAAACGGATCATTTGATAGTTTTCTACCTGATAAGAGCTCAATGATTTTTCCCTTTAGGGGCTGCCGGGTGTAAAAGGGGAAGCAGGCCTCACAGTGAGTCCCACTTCATATTCTTTTTCATTACTTATTTAATGCGGTCATTCATGAGCTCATGTTGTGATGACGTATTGATTTCAGAGAGAGGACATCATTCGAATGATCAAAGAGATCTGTGGTAAAGTATCCTCTGATCTTTCACTTGTCTGTATTAGATTAGCAGCACAAACGTAACAGGAGAGGGTTTGTTTTCCGTTTAGTCTTATCTGTAGATGGTTAGATCAGATTTCACTCACTGAAAGTGACACTTAGGCGATGATCTCATTCAAGGATGCGGGATCAAGTGCAAGGAGAGGCCGATGGAGCTGGTGTTTGTCATCGACAGCTCAGAGAGCGTGGGCCCTGAGAACTTTGAGATCATCAAGAGATTTGTGACCACTCTGGTGGATCGGGTTACAGTAGGCCGCAATGCCACCAGGATTGGTCTGATAGTCTACAGCCTGGAAGTAAAGCTGGTTTTCAACTTGGCCCGCTACTCCAACAAAGAGGATATCAAGGAGGCCATCAGGAACATCCAATACATGGGCGAGGGCACCTATACCGGTACCGCCATCCGTAAAGCCACTCAGGAGGCCTTCTACAGCTCACGCCTGGGCGTCAGCAAGGTGGCTATCGTCATTACCGACGGGCAGACGGACAAACGGGAGCCTGTCAAGCTGGATTTAGCCGTCCGAGAAGCCCATGCTGCCAACATTGAGATGTTTGCTTTAGGGATCGTCAACAGTTCGGACCCAACTCAGTCCGAGTTCCTCCGAGAGCTCAACCTGATCGCCTCTGACCCAGACAGCGAGCACATGCTTCGTATCGATGACTTCAACACTTTGCCAGGTAAGAATAGAAATAAAGACCAAAAGATTACATAAGCCATGTAAAGAAAAATACTAATTGAATTGCAAAATTATTTATATTTCTTTAGCTACCCAGGACTGTTTTACATTTTTCTCCCTCCATCTTACCATCAAATATATATTATACATTTATATTCTGTCTGTTTGTCTTCACTAACTTAAAATCCACCCTGCAAAAAAGTTTTTGGTTTAACATGACAATCATAAAAATATTAGTACATTGCATTCATTTAAGTGTCTTTATTGTGCTCAGTGGCCTGGCTAACTGCTATTAGCAATGCAAACCAGGAACCTTAAATTTGTTTGCTTTGTTTGCCAACATTAACATGTTCACTTATAAAAACAAAGAGAGAGAAGTAAAAAACAAGCTGTGATCTCCAAATAGCAATAGTTGCCATGTCAGCTGCAGCCATTTTGAATTTCAATCTCTTTTTTTCTAACCTGGAACTAGATCTACAACGATTATTTGCAAATTGATTAATCTATTGTTGTTTTTTTGATTAATCAATTAATAATCAGATAGTATTGGTTCTTAAAGAAGATTTTTTTACGTAATTAAACCAGGTGAAACTAATTTTTTTCCACCTGAGGGGTTCTGGATAGAGCATATTGGGAGATGAAAAATATTTTTTTTTATTTTAAATGCAAAATATTTACCGTATATATTTTTTATAATTCTGATATAATCACTGCTCTAATTGGGTTGTTCTGACAGCTAAAGGCATATTTTACAGTCTCTTTACTCCATTTAACAATTAATCGATTGCTAAATTAGTTGATGATTATTTCAAGAATCGATTCACCCGATTAGTTGTTTTAACCGTACCTGGAACCATAAAAGTTCTAAAAGCTCAATGAAAATCAAACAGAAGGCTAGCCTTTCAGAGTTTTTAAAGTTAAGGTTAAGGTTAAGAGAGGGGTTCCATAACTTTTTTTTATATGTTCATACTAGTCTCTGCAGCCTCTGGTGTCTGCTCTGCTCTCGCATTCTTCATTCTCTCTCTTTTTCTTCTTTGATCGGAAGATTGAGACTTTTGAGGGCATGGCTTCTCATTGTTGTGTTCTTGTATTTTCAGTCTTCATTATAATACTCCTTGACTTTTTGAGACTGATGCTGGTTCTATATATACAGATGCTGGTGCTGCCCCCCTCTGGTTAAGGGGGGAACTGCTTTTTTCCAGCATATAATGTTAAATAATCCTTTAAAAAAATCTTGTATCTGGATTATGATCTGGATCCTCACCAAAATGTTATCTCTGATAAAAAATTCATTCAAATCTGTTCATAACTTTTCAAGTAAACAAAAGAAAAACACAACCGAGGAAATAACCTCCTTGGCGGAGGTGATCATCTGTTTCACACAAATAGCCAATTTGTTATTGTTGCTGCAGAAATGGAAACAAATTGATGAGCTCTACATAGAGTATTTGAAGTAGCATTAATAAAAAAGTCCTTTCAGTTCATTAGTTTGAGTGTATCTAATAATGTAGAAAATGAGAGAGGCAGATTGGTAAAAGAAAAGAATAAAAAAGAAGTGATTTCCTGCTGAATGCCCTTATATCTGAGTGGTGAAGCAGATGCAGTAAAATTCAGGCAGCATGACTTGATTGAAAGTGTACCGTTGTGGCTCAGTGAAGGGATCAGGTCTGCGGTTGGCTCAACTCTCCACGGCTGGCAGAGGTGAAAGATGGAAGCTGTGTTTGAGGAAGCATGAATGCACCAAGAGATCAGTGTTTTATGCTAAGGCTAACACAAACCCAAGCCATCCTCCTCTCAGATGGTCGCCTTCCAGGAGCTTTGGGCTATTTGTGGTCCTTTTTCATTGCTTGGTAGCTTTTTCTCAACCAGCTGGCTGGTTTGCTGTAGAAACAGGTGGGGGAGGGGCAGGGCTGTGTTACTTGATTCTGCGTACAACAGCAAAAAGCTGCAGTCACTCTGATACCTTCTCTGGCACTTAATTTCAATCGCTTTAGGGTGTATTAAAGTATTTGGACCTTCTACAGTTTACAAAAATATCAAGTGTAGATTTGTAGATCAAATTGATCTAGAAAAGTTTTTGCCGGTCTTTTCTTGTCTTTGTGTCAATCCGGCCCCAGGACCAGTTCTTTTTTTTTTGTATAAATAATCATTTCTACATGATTTAAGATATTTAGATGTAAAAATGTATACATTTCTCATGAAATTATTTGTTTTGTTTGGATATTCATATAAAAAATCATCATAGATCCCAAATAATTCATTGTACATGGAGGCGCGTTGCTGCCCTGGTGCAATGTTCATCCGCGTTCTCAGCGCAGCAGAAAATCGAATGAATCTAATAAAATCCAACATAAACTGCCAATCAATTAGACCAATAACATTTAACATCTGTAATGTTTTTATTCCGTGTATCATTCATTTTTCAGTTTAAAACCTACAATGAAAATATGATAAACAACTTTGAATCCAACAGGAAACAGAATTGATTAATTGATTTAATGATTGACTTTATTGATCTCACAGTGGAGAAATGTACTTTATTTACTTAAATCAGTTTAAATAGTCAAAAAGAAGAAGGTGCCAAAAATAGAAAAAGGTGCATGGGATATATATATGTGTATTTATATATGTATATGTGTATATGTATATGTATATATGTATGTATATGTATATATGTATATGTATATATGTATATGTATATATATATATATATATATATATATATATAACATTTTACAGAAAATTAAACCATCTCATTATTTTTATTAGTTTTTATAATTATGAAAATATAAATAAATTATTTTTTTTTTTTTAATGACAAATGTTCTAGTGAATAGACCTTCAGAAACAATCATGAATGTTGATTTTTAAAAGGTCTTGCAACAGATGCAGCTCTTAATATTTTTATTTCGATTAACACAATAAATAAAATGGCTTTTTGCATCGTAAAGGTTGCAGACATCTGTTTTATACCATATACACATTTTTGGCTAATTTTTTTGTTTATTGATGGACGTTTCAGGTTAACACTCATCTGATCTTACCAGCCCGTTTACTCCTTTACTCTCTTATGTTCATTCTCAGCTCTCGAGTCCAAGTTAGTCAGTCAGTTCTGTGAGGACGAAAATGGAGCCTTGATATACAACCGGATAACAAACGGTTACAACGGCCAAGGAAACAACGGCTACAATGGCAACAGGATTGGTACTGGGAGCTACGCCACTGGTGGTTATGGGTACAGGCCGATACCTCAGCAAGACCTGCTTAACGGCCAGCGGACCGGCTTTAACTCTGGATCTGGTACTGGGAGCAGTAAAGGATCCAGCACCATCCACGTAAGGAACACAGTACAGCACACTGCAAAAACAATCTAAAAAGGAGTAAAATGTCTTAAATTAAGTGTATTTACCCTTAATTTGAGGAGGTAAATAAGATTATTTGCCAATGGAATTAGTGTTTTTACTCTTAAAATAAGATAATTAGATATTATGCACATGAAATAAGACAATGCGATTGTTTTTTCTTATTTTGAATGTAAATTGTCTTGTTCCATTGGCAATGTGTCTAACTTACCTCCTCAATTCAAGAAATATGCACTTATTTAAAAAAATTACTTATTAAGATTAAATTTTTTTGCAGTGCAGATATAGCTGTACATTACTGAAGCTCTCTAACACCACAGTAATCTGCTTGTTGTTTCCTCAGGTTGCAGGAGGACAGCATGAGGCCACAGTAATAACCAATAGAGGAAATGAACGGGGGGACACATTTAACCGTGGCACCTCAGACTATAGAACTCCACCTCCTGCCAGAGAGGGATCCTCTGGTAGCAGAGTTTCTTCCTCATCCTCATCCTCTAAAAACATAAGCACCTCATCCTCAAGTGTTTCTGTGAAATATGAGCCTCCACCGCGGCCAGCTCTTCCTAAAGGTACACCAAACCATACCACTACTCTATACATACTCTATACATATTTTTTGGGTTAGTTTTGCATTTTTGGTCTTTTCTCCCATAAGTTTGCAACAGAAAAAAAAGCTTTTACAGCTGGCAATTAATGTTTCCAGAATAAAAAGAATAAAAATGAAAAGAAAAAGCTCTAAATGTAGCTTGCAGCATATCTTTTAAATCTCAGACAAAGCTTTTGCATCTTTGAAGTAATGCAATGGGGAGTTTTGGAGTACTGTTTAATAAATTAACTGAAAATGAAAAGACTACGCCATAAAAATTATTTTTTTTTTAAATATGCATATTTGCCCTTGACTTAAGTATGTAAATAAAACAATCCTTTCAGTGGAATAGGAGTCTTATTTCAAGAAGTCTTATTTTAAACGCAAAAATATGATTTGCATTTGTAGATAACTTACTTACCTGCACAAATGCAGGGGAAAAATCTTATTTTATAATGTTTTACCTATTTTAAAATACATTTTTGCTGCTTAAGTCCCACTGTAACTCTGAAGGAACACTCAGAGCTTAGGTGGGAGAATCTTTTTAAAAGGATATGCATATGTGATGAAAACTAACTAATCACTGTGAACACAACTACCTCCTATATGCTGGAGACGTGCTACATGGAAACTGGTCAGAGTTTATGGAAAGACATATAGAGGAAAGGAAACACAGAGAAATACTAAAAAATAAAACTGCTAAACTGTCAAAGGCAAGGCAAATTTATTTGTATAGCACAATTCATTACAAAGACAATGCAAAGTGCTTTACATGATTAAAATATAGGGAAAAAAACAGAGTCAAAGACTTTTGACACTGTAGAGCAATGGATAAGATTGAATCAAATGTGAATCTAAGGTTCCTCTTTATCCAGTGTGACTAAAATGCTTCCATGACAAAGAAAACTCCATTAAAAGGGGCTTTATGCACCCATTATATTAATCATTGCTGGTTTATATCTGAAATAAGTTTAACTCCCTCCAACCAGCCACAGCTGGGAAAATTGCATGAAAAATGAAGCAGGGATAAATGCTAATAACACAATGCTAAAACCCTCCACTTCTAACAGTTAAGTCAGAATCATTAGGGGTCTGCAGGAGCCCCTGCAGTGACGTGACATGATTAGAGCCTCTAGTAAAGTGGCGGTCTGGTGGGTTTAGTGAGCCGGTGGCAGAGAGGGCACAGCTTTGCTCGATGTATCCTCCATGCTGTGTGTGCAGCGAAGCGAGGAACAGTGAAGCCAATTATTTTTGAAGTAGTGTTGCTATTATCGTGGAACCGGCTTCTCCCTGAAGAAACGGAGCGGAAATGGTCACTCTGGGGGTAGACTTTTGTATTTTTTTTTTTGTGTGTGTGACTATGTGCGTGTTCTTACTCCTTATCACATGACATCTTCCTGCAGAGACCGTACCCTTGGACCCTCGCTGCGGGCTGGTTCTGGATCAGGGAACATGTCGAGAATATAACATCCGCTGGTATTACGACAAGCAGGCCAACGCTTGCGCTCAATTCTGGTATGGGGGCTGCGGCGGGAACAGGAACCGCTTTGACACAGAGGAGGAGTGCAAGAGGACATGTGTGGTTTCCAGAGTAACAGGTATACCTTCCTATTACTATACACGCATCACATCAATCTCTGACCTTCTACTGACCTTCCTTGCATGTTTTGTCCCTTCAGCAGCTTGAGCGAAGGCGTTCATCCAAAACCTGCTGTAGAAACGTCAAGGAGGAGTCGTAAAACGTTGCCATTTCCCAGCAGGTTACAGAAAGTCGGGTTCCAGTTTCTCAGGCAAACACGTACACATTTCATTTTCTGGTATTTTATAACTTACAGCAGAATGACTTTGAAAAGGAAAAGTTTTTGTTACCATGGAGATCTTTGATCGTTGCTGCTCAGGTATACAGAGGAGGGCTCCTGTTTGCTCCAGCTTTCCTTCATCTACAGTTCTGTATGTTTTATTTCCCTCACACTCAATGGTTACTGTGAACACAGTGAAAAGATGGACTGTTTGCAAAACGGAGATGATTAAAATCCTATAACTTAACAGGTTCTGTCAGTGTTTTAAACGTCTTGGTTCGTCCCTCGTTTATTTACATGTTTGCTTCCTTGTAGTCGGACTTTCATGTGATCTTTTAACCGATTTTGATGAGTATCTGTTCAAACATTTTGAAGGTATTGACCTTTTTTTTTAAAGAAAAAAAAAATACTATTCTGGTTATTCTTTAAAGGAGATATTTTTACTGACTCATATTAACAGGATCAATTTGCAATACAGATTTATTTTCCTGAGTATTGTATCAATATCAGAATATTATGATACATTTAAACAGGTCTTTTACTCAGGATGATATATATATATATATATATATATATATATATATATATATATATATATATATATATATATATATATATATATATATATATATATATATATATAAATAGATATATATATATGATGTAAAGTAAAGTATGCATCTAGCTAAATCCTGGCACAGTTGTGGTTCGTAGAGACTAAATGCTGAAATTAAATCAACTAAAAATTTGTTCAACTAATTATAAGTTAAATGCACATTAAGGCTGCTAAGTTTCCCCCGATCCATAAAGATGTATTTTAATTAATACATGTCATATTACATGTGTTTAAGGCATTTCAGTGATTTTCTACATCATAAAAACCTTCTATTTTGATCATTTGAGTGGAATTTTTTTGTCATTTAAACGGTATTTCAGTAGAAAAAAACAAAACAGCCAACCCACACCAGGACTTTTGGAGAAGATTATTCAGGAAATTGCGTCTTTGAGGGGCCGCACCTCATTGTATTTTTGTACTGGCTACAGTCTAAAATCAACAATTTTGAATTAGGTCAAGAATATCTGGAATTATACCAGCAGCAGGTGTGTTGTGTGTTTTATAACCACTCCAACCTAAAAATAAAATAAAAATGCATATACATTTCAAAAACAATCTAAAAATTTGGAAAAAAATGTCTTAAATTAAGTGTATTTACCCTTAATTTGAGCAGGTAAATGAGATAGTTTGCCAACGGAATGACCAATTTTACTCTTAAAATCAGATATTTAGATAAAATGCACTTGAAATAAGACAATGCAATTGTGTTTTCTAATTTTAAGTGTAAATTGTCTTGTTCAATTGGCAAAATGTCTCCTTTACCTCCTCAGTCCAAGTACAAATGCACTTATTCTAAGAAAAAATGACTTATCTAGATTTGGATTTTTTTCCAGTGTATTTGCTCCAAATGATGCTTCATCTTGGCAATGAGGATGGCTTTCCTCACTGTAATTAACAGATATACTAAGCAACACCTCCAAGCAGGAATAGAGGATTGGGGTGAAGCTGACGGCTGTTGCACCCCTGCATCGGGAGGGAATGTCAGGGAGGCTAATTTGTGAGTGGGTGTGAAGTGTGTTAAGATTATACAAGGCTTGATATTCAACATCCCTGCTGTTTTACCCCACCAGATGTGGCCGGCTCAAGTAGGTTTGCAGCATTTTTGAAACCTTTAGGTAACTGACCTTCTGTTTTTATTTAATTTCAGGAAAAAAAACATCACATGTTGAATTTATAATGGTAAATTTATCAGGTTACGTGTTTGCTCTTTGTCTTTAAAACCACAACTGCAGTATTTATCTAATTGTACTCTTACGCACACTGTGAGATCATAATTTTACACTTATCCAATTCAGAACTTCTTGAGACACACCAAGAGTAGAGCATTTAAAAAATGAAAAATGTCTAAAAGATAGTGATTAAAAAGATCTTATGGTCTTTTAAAGGTGGGGACTTTTGCACACTACTGTGCACACATTAACGATAACTTTCTATTCGTGAAACGATTTTGTACATTTGTTTGTTTTCATTGCTATAAAATGTGACTTTTTTTCAGTTTTATCCGTTTTTTTTACTTGGAGTAATCTTTATAAACTGTCGCACATATCACCCTCTACTGGGCAACATATGTGTCATCCGCTGAATTAGACGCTTCAGTTTCAGTGGGAGGCTGTTCCATGTTTTGCCCAGATGTACTGACTTCATAAATGCATAATTACTGTACTGTGTAATGCCTTGTTAAAAATGTCAACCGTTTAAATAAATCTGATCTTAATTAAAACATGTAAAAGTTTGTTGATAGGGGTTTGGAATTGGGCAAAGTTGGATCAGTCACCTGTAATTGAAGTCCATGTTTGATTAAAAACAAAATGTGATCCATTGACATCACATTTAGATAAAAAATATTCATACCCCTTTTACTCCTTTCGAATGCAAACTTAAATGTATTTTATTTGGATTTTTTTTTAATACTAAACCAAAGTATATGTGATTCACAGTATGTGTGCATTTGTAGTTAGCCCACTTTACTCTGATGCCCTAAATAAAATAATGACGATTGAATCTATGGAAACTCATTGAATTGGTCCAAAGAGTCCACTTTTCAGTGAAAGACTGAGCTTTGTTAGAGAGCATTTTTGATTAAATTGGCTAATGAAGACAGCAAACAGGTTAAGGTGAAAGTTAGGGATACATTTAAAGAAGGGTAATGGTATAAAATCATATCCCAGGCTTTAAAGATCTCACAGAACTCTGCTAAATCATCCTTTTAAGAGTATGGCACAACATGAAAACTAATAAAGTTATAGAGGCAGCCAACAGGTCAACATTGTTTATCAAAGCATGTCCATGTGGTAAAATGGCCTAGTCAAAGTTTAGATTTAAACCAATCAGTAATCTCTGGTTAATTTGACACAATTTCAGCTGGTAGATTATAAAGTCATGGAACATTCCCTTCTATCTTATACTGTTTGTATTCCGTCACACATAAACTGCTATAATAGAATGTAAAATTCAGTTTTATGATATGTTAAATCTCACTTTTCCTAAATGTCACTGTCGCTTTATGAAAGTAGTGGAACTCTCTTACGCACATCAGCTCTTCCCTTCTGCTTAAATTACATTTTAGAGGCTCCTCGACATGTGGCGTAGTCTGATCTATCTTTAGTGCACCCTGCAAGAGAAATGCTACCTTACTCTAAAGTCTTTTCAAACTTTATCAGGCTGCAGAAATACAACAGAATGAAAAAGCCACTTTTATTATGGCAGTTCCACCAGTTAGAGGGGAAACATGGCTGCAAGCGAGCAGAAATCATCTGTGTCAGCAAAGGAAGGGGGAAAAAAAGTATGTCTAATTCTAAAATTATTATCTGCGACTGACGCGTTTTGGATGGAGAGCTGCTCAGTCAAACACACACTCTGCTTATTTGCGGAAATAGCTGCTTGCTCGTGTGACTCTCACCTGTTTTTCTCACAGCTGCCACGCTCAGAACTTTTTTAGGTCCAATTATAGCACAGCGTTCTGCAGCTTTCGCTAATTAACACTGAGATGGGTACAAAAGAAAACAAAGGCTGGGTGACATAAAGATAATTTTCTAAATCAGCTGTGCATTCACATGTTAGGATAAACAAAACTTATATCAGCAAAGTGTTAACCCAGCTAATGTGTAATTCATGAGACAAGAGCTTAATAAGAGTACGGCAGTTAAAAAGAAGGTTAATGATCAAAATTATTTGCTATAATTTGAGAAGCATAAGTGTAAAACTTAAAGGGCTCTTTAAATAATCAGAGACAAATCTTGTCTATTATAGAGCAGAACTTGTTTTCTTGTTTAAGGCCTTTTTGTTTCCTTTATAGGTGGTTCTATGGCTAAAAACTGGAGGTAGACTCCATGCAGCCCTTCCACGTGGACCGAAATATGAATCAATTTCTAAAGATGAGTTTACCTTTTTAGATATGACATCAACTACTAACCTATCACCCCATTTATATTTAACTTAGGCTTTAAGGGGGCTATTTAGGTGCTTTGACACTATTGTCTTTGCTTTTAATGGATCACATGACACTCTGGGAGCTGAATCACTGTGGCATGTCTCCAGCCGAATATCCCAGCAGTTGCTACTTTCAGTCTGCAGCAGCAGGTGCTGAAGCCCAGGCCTGGACTGTTCTCTGATTTGGCCCATTGAGATTCCACTGAAGCTGAAGCATGCTGGGGTTAGTGGCAGCTATATTTAGAGGTGGGGGGATTAAATTGCTCCGTCTTCATGCTGGGAACCCTTTCTCTGTTCAGCCTTTTCCAGCCAGGACTGACTGCCAAAAGGACCTTTGGCGACCATCTCCTTCCATTGTCCGTAGATACTTTTGTTTTAGTGGCTGTTACCCCTCTTGACTAGCAATGGACCCCAACGCCATCAAGGAGGAGCTGCGTCTGTTTCAGAGCACCCTGCTTCAAGACGGCTTAAAGGAGCTTCTGAATGAGAACAAGTTTGTGGACTGCACTCTGAAAGTGGGCGACCGCAGTTTCCCCTGCCACCGGCTAATCATGGCCGCATGCAGCCCTTACTTCAGGGATATCTTCTTCACAGAGGACGGAAAGGAGGTGGAGAACACCAAAGAAGTGGTCCTAGAGGACGTCAACCCCTCTGTCCTGGACATGATTATCCAGTACCTCTACTCGGCTGAGATTGACCTCACTGATGACAACGTTCAGGATATAATTGCTGTAGCAAACAGATTTCAAATCCCCTCCGTCTTCACAGTCTGTGTCAATTATCTTCAGAAGAAGCTGTCGCTGGGTAACTGCATGGCCATCTTCAGGATGGGCCTGGTGCTCAGCTGTCCAAGACTTGCTGTAGCGGCACGAAATTACATTGCAGACCGCTTTGAGCTTCTTCATAAGGATGAGGAATTCCTCAAGCTTGCAGCCCATGAACTGTTTGCTATCATAGGTGGAGACTCGCTGAATGTTGAGAAAGAGGAGCTGGTGTATGAAGCGGTCATGTCTTGGGCCCGCCATGATAGGGAGAAACGTGTCAAGGTTTTAAAAGATGCCTTCAACTGTATCCGGTTCCGGCTGATGCCAGAGAAGTACTTCAAAGAAAAAGTGGAGAATGAAGAGATCATCAAAGCTGACCCAGAGCTCCAAAAGATGATTCAGGTCATCAAGGATGCCTTCAAGGGGAAACTCCCAGACAAACCTGCGAAAAAAGAAGGCGAGGAGGGGGCCGGCAAGGAGGGAGAGGAGGAAGACAGCCCATTCCCCGGGTTCCTCAATGACAACCGCAGACATGGCATGTTCGCCCGAGACTTCGTCCTGATGATCAATGACACAGCGGC